ATGCTACTCTACACCAAAAATTAGGGGAATGTGCTGAGTGGTGGGTTCACCAACTTTCAATCTCATTGAATTTTACATGGGTGTGAAACTGAAACCCCACAATCTATGATTTTTCATGCATCTGCATCTGCATTACACTACCAATTATGAGTCTCATATTAAAGCTTGTCTTATTGGCTACATGTTCCCCCAGTTTTGAATACAGTACAAAAGGAAATGAGTGATAGACAGACAGAATGAGCATAACACTGCATATGAGAGCCTTGATCATGAGACACAGTGACCCTCTGTTATGTCACATTATTTCCATATTTGGCAGAGGGCTGAGTTTGACTTGACAGTCAAGAAGTCCAAATTGGGAGGCAAAACTCAATGAAGCTAAGTAGGAGCATCAGAGGCCAGCATGTAGAAAGCCAGGTTTCGAAGGCCTTGGTTCATAGAAAGTGATACGGAGGATGATTGCAATAAAATGGGCAGAAGATCGTGGTGAATGCGAGTGAGATGCATCGATTACTTGTTTCCAAATATGGTAGGAGAAAGCGTGATGTGACCATGTCTCAAGGAGCGAATTTAGATTGATAAGGACTGCGACACTGATCTGCTCCCCATGCCCTCTGTTCACACTCGATAAGAGTTAAAACTACATAAGCATAATGTTTCCGTACTGTTTGAACTATGAGTAAGGTCTGATCTCATTCTTATGTGGAAATTCTCCTGCTAGAGTCTTAAAACAATTTGAGTGTCTCATTGACCGGTTGATGACTGTAGGGTGGAAGTGGCGAATGAGTGCCGTGTCCCGCACCAGCTTACCGAGCTCTGTGGCTGCAGAGAAATGCCTTCTCTGTGAGCGGAAAACACAAAAACACGCTCGGAAGGACAAGAAAGATTACGTAAAGTGAATAACGGTGAGCCACAGCGATGTCATCAGACGCGATCGGACGGCAGTTGCCGACGAGCGCCTCTGACACAGTGCGATCCACAACCGTGACTGCTCTTCGCCAGTACTTCACAACCTATCAGCACCCGTCGGGCAACCTTCTCACGTACCCTCTAACTAACAAGATCCTTAAAGTACACAGTATGTCTGTTGCTATCTGTAGCATGAACATTCTTTTGCACTACTAAAATCCGAGCCATAAGCTCCTAAAGCTAACCAGCATCGAGCCGCCATGAGCAATCCTGTCCCGTTCGAGCTCTCTCAAGCAGAGCGATTAGAAATCAGCCAGATGTCTGCCCATGAGGCTCAGCGGTGGCTCCGGAGCAAAGGGAGCAGGCACAGTCCTATCTACAAAGCGTCAGCACCCTTCACAATTCCTTCTGCCCTGCCGTCAGTCTCCCAAACGAGATGCTGGTGGAGATATTCTTTTACGTCCAAGATACATCTCCATATATGAAATGGCGGGAGCTCACCCGGGTATGCCGCCACTGGCGCGCGGTGGCACTGGAGACACCTGGCTTCTGGTTGGAGATTGATATCACGAGGGGGCTTGGCTTCTTGCAGCTATGTCTCCAACGTTCCCAAAACGCACTGGTAACCATCATTGCCAGTAACCGCGAGAGCAGACCGCGCAGGATCAGAAGGATACCCGATGCTTCAAATATAATGGCCGTCATTACATCTCACGCGCATCGTATCCGCTCTTTGCGATTTTCACCCGTTAGCTGTCATTTCATGGCAGTATACCTCTCGCTATTGCGAACCGAGATGCCCGCTCTCAAAACGTTGGCGTTGACCCCGTCCGATGTCTGCTTACCTGATTGGGAATCCTCATTCGAACCGCTATCCAATCAATTCCCTAATATGCAGTCACTTATCCTCGAAGGCACGAACGTACCGTGGGGCGCTCTAGCCCTCAGAAACCTCGTACATCTGGAACTGCGTCGCGTGAAGTTCAGGTCTCCCCCATCCGCGAATGCGATGTTTACCCTCCTCAAGGAATCCCCGAGTCTCGAGTACCTCACGTTGGAGTGGTCATGGCCGAAATCAACCAGGGCGGATCCCGTCATGCATGCGTCTGAGAATTCTGATCATACCATCACCCTGCCCCATCTGTGGAAACTGCGCTTGGCGGATCAATACGAGGTCGTATCGAGCTTTCTCTCCCGTGTCACCATCCCCATCGACGCTTCCGTTGAACTATTTTGCGACAATTACACATTGGGAGAGGACAGGAGGAGCTGGAACATTATTCCGGCCCTTCTCCCACGAAAGAAGGACGAGCTGCGCGACATCGATCGTCTTACTATTGAACTCGGAAGGGGGATCCTTACATTCAAGGCTTACACAAGTCAATCACCGGACGGCCGCGGTTCACCATGGTTGCAGTGCACTGTTGAGTTCGATATTCCTCCGGTTCTTTCCCACGGGGAAATATTCTGCGCGATGCTGCGTTTCGCTGTGGATATCTTCGAAAGATGCTCTGTGACAAGCCTTGACATTATCGGAGACCAAAGCTGTTTCACTGAAGACGATTGGGACAAAGTCTTCCTCGTCTTCCCTCGCCTGAAGTTTTTGACGGTCACCGCTACGAACACAGTACAAGCTCTGTTCGATGCACTTCAGATGTATCATCCAGATGATCACACTAGACTCACGGCTCCCGATCTGGAAGTACTATCTATCGTAGGAGACGCCGAAGGCGAGGACATAGCGGATTGTCTACTGTTTCGACCTTCGCACGGTAGCCGTCTGAAGCTGTTCAACCTTGAGAATCCATGCGAGGACGACGTAGTCGGAGAAAGGAGAAAGTATTAAACTCAATGGGGAGACAATGCAGCAGATCCGATCTGCGGTTGATACATTCCGGTACTATTATCATCCATTTTAAAGCAACTCCTCTTGTAAGCAAAGCGGATGTGTTCATCTTGTGTCTACCACTGATGGCTAGTTCTAGCTTTCGCGCACAATCCCCTTGGCATGTCATGTCAGGCCCGTGTGTACCCTATGTAAGCGACGAAACTCACGTCAGAAAGGCTTGGATGATCCCCTTCGCTGGACTTCTCGCCATCGAATCACTTGTTCCGAATACGCAAATAAAACCCATCGAAGAGCTGGTTAGTGAGCATGACAACCCAACGACTCCCTTTCAAGAAGGACGACCCAGTCCATGATTCCTGTACATACTCTGACCTGCTGTCCGCGTATGGCTCTCTATTGTAAGTGTATGCGCGTTTGAGGTGGGCGGCCACCTCATCTCGAATGAACGATCAAAGACAATATTACTAAGTATCCGCAGATGCAGTTTGAACGTTAGCTGAGACGTTCAGAGGTGCAACATTGTAGTATACTGCGGAGTTAAACGGCACAAACGTTGACTGTGCCGTGCTTGACATCTGAATGTCGCCTTGGCACAGCTACAGGTGACGAGCCCTTCACAAAGTTTGCTAAGACCGCTCTCGCAGACGTAAAAAGACCGCATATCACCTTGATTCACCGCATCGCACCGCAGCTATAACATGCAAGAAGCACATTCATCCATTCGTCAAATGTCAGCGACGGACAATTCGAGAGCTATGTAAGCGTGAACAAGAAAGCAATCCGACGTTTCAGTGTATATTACAACAGTCCATTGATCTCCACTTCTAAGAATTCCTCTACGCCTGATTGAACTGCGCCCACAAATTCTGCCATGATGCGTCAGGCTGCTGCATTTGACCGTCCGGCGAGCCACCGCCAGACATGTACCCGTACGAGGCAGCCGTAGGGTCCATATTCATGTATGCTCCGTTCTGAATGGCCGACACATCCAGCCCCATAGGCTGCTGGACCATCGGGTGGTGCCCATTACTATGGGGTATCATGCTCTGGTCAAATGGTGACTGCCACATGCCGTGCAGCTCCGCATATGGCTGGTATAGACTGCCGTTGTATCCGAAGCCGTTGACGGCGGTGGGTGACTGGTTGTACGTTTGCCATGGCTGAGGGGGATCCATGATGCCGTGTTGGATGGACTGCATGGGCTCGGGCACGGGAGGAGCCACGCTCTGCACTGGGGACTGGTCGGAGGCATCGCGGGGGCTGGATCCACCTTGCGAGTTGCTCCCGCTCGGAGAGGACGGTGCTGAGGGCGACTTGCGAGAGACCAATCTGGTCTTGCCGCCAAGAGCCGTGAGTTCTTCGTCTTCTTTGATGGTGAATCCATGAGGGCCATTGCGCGGTGCCATATTTCGAGAATGATATTCAGCCATGGACGCCTCAGCTCTACTCTTCAGCTTCCGCAACACAGGCTATAGCACAAGAGTCATCAGCAACAGGTCCTTATGCCAAGCACTCAGCAATTGAACCATAAAAATTTACTCACAAGCACCTTGGCCGCACGGGGATTGTGAGACACACTGTCGAAGAGGCTGTATGCGGTGTCGAGCTGCGCGAGCGCCGAACGAGCCAGCGCCATGCCAGGACTCTTGGACGGTATCGCACCCAACACGATCTGGACATGTACCCACAATCAGCCATGAACGCGCCACGTTGCGTTCGCGATGCTCACCGAGCACGAGAATACATGTGTGAAGAAGAACCACATCCGCTCCACCAACGCCGGGAATTGCGAGTGCAGACTCTTGACCAAGCTAACGAAGGCGCATGCGCTGTTGTGTGCCGCCAAGACAGACGGCGCGTACTTGCTGCCTAGCGGATCCTCTGGATTGTCTTGGAGAGCGGTGGCGAAGAAGCCGCGATGCATGTAGAAGACGGCTGGTCCAGGTGGTTGGTGTGGGCATGCGATACGAAGAAGGATGCTTACTGATTTCTCTCATTGAGAAGGCACAATATCCTTGGAGGATCTTCTCGTACGACGTCGACGTCTGCTCCAATTTTGCTCCTCCGAACCCCGGTACGCGCAACGATGGCGGAAGATAGAATTCCCGGACCTTCTTGTCGAGCTCTATGACAGTGCGATAGCTGGAGATCCGGGCACCGAACACCTGCTCGTGAACAACGCTCTGGCATCGCGAAGCAAAGAGATGCTTCCAAGCCGCGACTATCCACGTCGACGGGCAACATTAGTATCAGAACTACACGGACCGTTACATCCGCAGTGTGAAACAAGACTCACAGCTCATCTCGGGCTCTCCAGAATCTGTCTTCGCCGCCGGACTTTCCGGCATTTGACAATCGATAAAGGCCATCGACAGCGATGGAGGCCTGCCGAACGTGAGGCTCTATCATTGTGGGAAGACATGGCCAGCATTGAGTCGCAATACTACCCGGGCGAGGAGAAGGCCGATATACCTGCCATGAGTCATAGGTGTAAAGCTCGTAGAATAAATTTCGCCGCTTGAAAGCCTCTTCGGGATTCAAATTCCACTTATTTCCATCGCGATCTTAAATCACAAGTCAGAGCTTATCTATATTGACTACGTGCATGTCTTACGAAGTCCAAGCTGAAAGCAGATTAATCAGTGCTCGATTTTTGACATTAAGAGCAGATATGCGGACTAACAGTCAATGCCAGCTTGACGGCAAGCCCCATCAGCGCCCAGCGCGGACCGTCGACGTGCGATAGGAACATAAAATGGCACATAAGAATCTGTGCACGTGCCGTAAAAGGCATATGAGCAATCGTCCGTGGACATCGGGGCAAGCCTACTGACCAATGCCTGAATAGCCGGTAGAGTCTGGTGTTCCAGGACAGAATCCAACGACAGAGCAGCGCGTCCAAGCTGATAATAGCGGGTGGCTGAGGGGGAGAGAGGCTCTATTTCGAGATCAACCAAAGTACCCATCGCAAGAACTAGATACAATATTGCGAGCCGGTGCGAGTCGAGCGGATCTTGATCTAGGTATGCCGGCGAGAGTTCATAGAATCGCGGCAGAATTGTCCCAAGGAACTCGCTCTCGGGTATGGGTGTGTACCTGTGCGCATCCGGGCCAGTAAACTTCTTGCTATGAATGGCATAGATTGGCGGATGACGTACATCCATGCGCCATGCTTGAAATACAATGCCGCTAAGCGACGCACTTCTGAGAGTTCCGGAAGCAACGATATGAGACTGTTTCGTATGTCCGGAATGCTCTCGATGACACTCGTGGAGAAAGGGAATGCATGGCTCAACCAGGGAATATCTGTTGGCAATGGGCCTTGCGGAGACTCTACATCATCCTCCGCGCCTTCCTCATTCTATCGTACGTCTGTAAACAATGCTGCATATAGTATACCAGTGATCATACCTGAAGGAGATACTAGATGGCAAATTGAGCCTGCGAATACTCATAAAACGAAGGCGGCAACATACCCAAGCATTGGCGGTTGTTCCAAAGAATTTCGTATGACCCGAGTCTCCGAGGTACCTGTGACATGTCTCAAAGCAAATCCATGTGCACGAAACGTGATCGATCGACATACAGAGATCCAACGGCATCGATAGCTTCCGTAATACCTGCTTCTGGTTCTTGCTGTGCTTCTTCTTGAGTTTCCCGCTCAAGAGGTCTCTTGATCTGCAGCAATTCCTCGGACAAGAGGGGATGAGGTTCCAGCGAGATATGACTGTATGCGTCTTGCAATGCGTCTTCCAACTGTCTTACACGATTTGCTAGTGCATTGATCTTCTCATGGAGAACTACTGTATTCGCCAAGACAAATCTGCAATGTCTGTTGTGGCAGCTTTCATAGATGGTGAAGAACCGAAAGCTACCTGTTACCCTTGCCCGTGGTGAGTGATCCTGAGAAACGTCATGAGTCAGCACGTACAGCAGCACGGAGAACTCTTGACCCCACCATCGGGACAGATCTGAGCACATCCTTTTTTGACACAGCTAGAGCACGGAAACTGACGCGAACATCTGTGGAGACAAATAGTTCGCTTAGATTTACCGAGGAGTAAGTACGATGATCACGGACTTGAGCTTAAGCCTGTGCAGCCCGAGCGTCAAACACGAGAAATCTCGCAGAGCATGCACTGGACGAACCGTCGACACTCCGCACACGATAGGGGTGCATTACGACGTCTTGAAGGCCTGCTCACGAGTGGGCTGCTTGAGGACATATTGTGAACGAGGAGTTCGAGGATGAGGACAAGAGGAGACACGCTGATTGCCCTGACGCGGTGATGAGCATCAGGTATATTAGGCAACTCGCCTCGTGATGCTGTGCCCACAGCGAGATGATCAAATCCGCACTGGACAAAATCACACAGCAAATGGAGTCGTATATCCGACTCAAAAGATGCATTGATGTCCGTGTGCGAGCTGCGTTCCCCCGCAAGACCGGTCACTAAATCTCGAGATTTATCTCGAATTTGTCAAATCGGGCATCCGAGGCATGAGATAACACGTGGCCCCGGCAATCAATGGTGGCGGCCACAAAGGCTAAAGCCTCAGCAGAGCTCGCCACTAACTCCCATGGTACGAAATGGGGAAGCGAAACTCAGTTCAACGACGCATGGTTACCGATGGCATATGCTTTCATAAGTCTGTCTCGCATCCACAGCGAACTTGGTCCGACAACGTTCAATTTGGTTCAAATGAGTCAAACATTCCACGATTCACATCGACTCAATCAACATTGTCAGGAAATGCCCATGATGATATGCGTATTGAAATTGAAACAAGACAACAAGCTCGTCCATAACCTGTCTATACGGATTGAAAGATGAGAGGCGGCCTGAAGAACCGTCTGAATAATAGAATCGATTATATCTCTCCTATTCTCCTGCGGGGATGCTGAAAACGCTTCTCGTAACAAAAGTCCCGCGTACCACCTGTTAGTAAAGCCAGAAAGAACAAGGCAGACATATCTTCGTTTCTATGAAATGCACGTACGTACTGGTAGCCAGCTATGATAGCATTGCACTCGTCCTCGCGTTATAGGTCGCTATTACAATGCGTGTGACTATGTGATATGGACGCTGAGCTCTTGGATTCTATTTAGCTGGTAATTTTGACCAGACCTTCAAGACCGCAGATCAAGATAGTGCATATCTCCTCTCACCTGGTCACCCTGAGCAGTTCGCAAGCTTTCCGCCTTTCCCTGCGATTATTGTGGGTGTATGTATGTAACTCCGCTAACGCTGTAGGCCGGTGTATTGTTGCATACATCATTCATACTGTCCCTTCCATTGGACCTGGCTAACTGCGGAGGCCTCCTTAGGCATTTAGGCATGAAAGACAATTATGGTGGTGTTTGAAAGCTCAGCAGTTCATCGGCATGGATAGTAGTATAAATCAGCATCGCAACCGCTGAGTACAGGTGGCAAAAGCGAGAGAGCGCAGTATCCAGCTCAACCGTGAAGTTCTTCGCATTGTTCATGCTTGGACCAGTCAGATTAGTAGTCCGCCATTGCACCATCTTAGCTCACTTTCCCATCAAAGCTGTCGCCGCTGGAGATTAATAGCAGCCACGTGGTATTGAGCCCGCCTGTCACGGTTGCACCGTCACTCGGTTGTCTTCCCCTCTCCTTAGCTGAGGAGGATATGCAGTATATCAGGTTCCATTCGAGGCGTTTTGGAGTTATGCAGGCAAGAACGGAGAATGAGTAGCTGCGGATGAAGTTGTAGGCGTAGTGATGGAAGTGGATACCATGCTTAGTGGCAGATGCCATAAGGAGTGTGCCTTCATCTCAGGAATAACCGTGATGCAGGGGGTCGGTCTCCCAGTCTACACTCACCATGCTTGCCCCTCCAACGATAGCCATCCCTTCTGACGACATCGCCGACACTGGCCACGACGGCCCTGCGCCGTCGGGGCACAAGTTTCCCCACACCCGCGCACAGCTCTCTGCGATTGCCCGGCAGTATAAGACAGGCTTGGAAAGCAACGACGCCGACCCCGATGCGGACGACCCGAGGGTCGACTCTGCGCTGGTGGGGAAGGTCACTGCGCTCTTGAATAGCGAGCGAGAGGATGATCTCAAGCAGCTACTCAAGGATACCTTTGGATCTATAGACGAGGAGGAGGTGAGTAATGCACATCAGTCTCATCGGGCTGTAACGGCTGTCACGCCATTGTGTGTGAGGATCCCTCGACTACCACACTGCGGTATGGTGGACACCGTGCGACGTGTGTATAGATATCCTCCGACCCGTAGTGTTAGCTCGACGACTTGATGACAAGGGAGGGCCCGAGTGACGTTGGCCATACTTCCAGCCCGAGTTCCCCTACGCATCGTGTGTTGTACCTCTCAATGAAACTGCTGCACTCATCGCGACTGCTAGCGCCATGCAACACTCTGTTCCGCGCGCACTGGACGATGAGATCGCGATACTGATTACTGATCGGACCCTCTAGCTCGAACAACACGTCCTCGATCTCATGCACAAGCACCGCGACGACGTCGACAACGTGCCATTTCACTTCCTCACGCCGACTCGTCGCCCGATCTCTCGCCCGTCCTCGCGCGCATCAACCCACTCCGCGCGCCTTGTCCCGCGCCCCGACACACCGAACTCGGCACCCAGCTCTCCACTCGCGATGATTTTTCGTCGGCCGCACACGCCCCTTACGTCCCCGCTCGGCGTACACCAGCAAGCTACGTCCTACATGACCGCACGCGGCGAGTCTCCCAGCACCTCGCCGCTCATAACACACGCGCAATTTACGGCGAGTCTCCCCGCGTCGCCGATCAGCTCTCCGCGGTCCCTCAATGCCAAGGCGTCCGAGTTCAAGCCCATCCAGCGTCCCCTGTCTGCAGCGTCCTCAAATCCCGGCTCGCTCGCCCAGCTCAGGGGCGACACGCCTTCGCCGGACCTGTGGGGTACGGTTCCTGGGAGGCCGACGTCGAAGCTCGCGATCACGGCCCCACTCATGCCCGAAAGCGCACTTTTTCCACGGGCGCTCACGCCGAGCTCGTCACTGCGGTCGTCGATGCGTCCAGACGAGCAGAGCGACGAGGAGGATCCGTTCGATCCTTTCGCGGCCAGCAATGTCCCGCGCTCGTTCCATCCTGTTGGAAGCGAATCAGACACGCAGTGGTCCACCCCGTCGCTCTCACCGGACGACCCGCGCAACGCAGCGCAGGCCGCGGGCGGGGAGCAAGCACCCAATGCGCAGGCCCAAACGGAGGAGATGGACCCGGAGGCGGCGGCGATGCTCACGGATGGGATGACGCCGTTCGACGTGCTCAGCTCCGTTTTTGGCGCGACCCTTGCGCCGTCTGAGCTCGAAGAGGCATTAGCGAACAATGCGTATGACTTCGAGAGGGCGATGACGTGGCTCGTCGACCGTCAGATGAACAATCCTCCTGTTGCAAGCGGGCCGCCCCGAATACAGTCGATGGGCAATAGAGTGGTGGTGGTATCGAGAGAAGGGGCAGCAGGGGTGTTTAAAGGCGGCAGGGGTGGGTTCGCCGCCAACGTGCCAGCAATGAGGAACGGTCAACGGCTTGTCAACGGTCGTCCGGTTCCTGGTGGGAATAGAGTGTGCAGATACTTCCTCGCAGGGGAGTGTTTGCGCGCCGATTGTCGCTTCAGGTAAGGTACCACTGATTGTGTACCTCAATGTATGCGCTCATCTCGTTACGCAGTCATGACCTCGAACGAGCCCTTTGTAGGTTCTGGTTGCGCGGAACGTGTGCCAAGGGGGAGAACTGCGAGTTTCTGCATCACCTCCCCAACGATATCGATGTGTCCGGTCTCGCCCATGCCATGGGGCGTGTGGAAATCAATGCTACGACGCCAGAGCGCAGCGCCTCCCCCGAAGACTTCCCCTCACTCAATCACGCAGCTAACACAGCAGAGCAGAACAGGAACGGACGTGGTGGGTATCGCTACGGCCCCGGTAACAGCGCGTACGATCCTGGACGCACGCGTTTCGCAGCGGCAGTCAAGAGGCCGGCACCCGTCGCTCTTCCAAACGGTCCTACGGTGCAGTCGCCAAAGGATCCTGCACTCATCCTCGCGCGCAGAGAGGCAATGGGTCCCGCTGCCGAGCATCCTACAACGATCGTTGCGCCGAAGCCGTCGCCTCGCATCAAGCTGCGTCCTCCGACTCTCCTGCCTACCCTCCCCACTGGAGAGTCAATCAGCAACCTCTACATGGCATATCGGTCTAGGTAAGTGCATATATGCTGCACTTGCAGACGCATGCTGACCGTGAACAGGGCGCTGCGTCTCGGAGCTGCCCGCAACGCCTGTCTCTCGCGCGCTGCGGATGCGTGGAGGAGAGGCGACGGCGCCGCGGCGAAGCGCTTCAGCCGCGAGGGTCACGACTTGAATGCGAAGATGAGCGCCGAGATGGTCGACGCAGCAGGTAAGCTCGTGCGCGAGCGGGCCAGGCTGGCAGAGCAGGCGGTGCGATCCCGCGGTGCCAGTTGGTCAGATGACTATGGCGACCGCACGGCGCGCGGGCGCATCTGTGGCGCAAATTTGGGCGTATGTCTGGGTATCGCCAGCCAGAGCGTAGGCGGGGAGGCGACGAAGCTAACCCCCGAGGAGCGCACGGAGGTTATGCTGGATCTGCACGGGTTGCATGCCGCAGAGGCTACAGATGTGCTGGAAGAGTTCTTGCTTGCGGTGAGTTTATTGTGAGGATAAATATATCAGAGTTAATAGCTGACGGTGATCGCTCGGAAGCTGGAACGCGAACATTTTTACGGCTTGGGTTAGGTCAATCTGCTGGTACACTGGTCCTCATGCTGATGTTGTATTTTTTCAGCCTATCTCGTAGTTGGCGAAGAAAAGCATACGGGGACGCAAGACCCTTCCCGCGGAGCTTCTCGACAACGTCTTGCGACTGGCGTGCGCGAATGGCTGCACATGTGGGGTTATCCTTGGAGCGAACGCGACGGCGTGATCTGCGTTGATCCTCTCACCCACGGCTGAATCACTAATGATCCCAAGGGCGCAGTCACGATGCAGCAAGAGCGACTTCGCGAAGAACGAGTGATATGAAGGTGAAGAAGCAACCCCACTTTGTATGGTTAGTGTATGTATATATCAGGGGAACGCGGATGTATGTATAGAAATGCTCGCAGTCGCCTGTGTATGTCGTGGAAACGGTTGCTCGTCGATGGAGGACTTCTGATGCTCGATGGTTGGTAGCAACATGTTGCTTCGCGCCAAACTGCCATTGCTAATCCGTTGATCTGTACAAATGTGGCTGAGCCCGCAGTAGTACGCGACACAGCACGCGACCTTTGTCTGCACTGCGACGCCGCCGTCGCACTTTGTTTCAACTCGAGTCGCGTTTCTGGCCTCGTCTGACAAGACATCGCCATTCTACAGTGCTGGCTGCGCAACGAACGCATCGGGGAGGTAGAGCCTTTCCCGCTGTCGCAGCGGTCATCCTAAATCCCGACTTTTCCGAAATTCAACTTCCATCATGTCGACCTCTTTAGCGATGTCCAACGTCGACGATCCATTCGACCACAACTCCCTATCCTCTCCAGGACCACAATCTATCGACTTCTCGCTCGAGCTCGAGCATCAGCTGGAAAGCGAATCGGTGCCGAACTCGCCTGCGCACGATGTCCGTCCCCAATCGCTGGACACGCACGTCCTGGCGTCCATCGTCACGCAGCTCCGCATGTCTCTCGAGGAAGTGACGAAGGAGCGCGACAGCCTGTTTGAGCAGCTTTCAGAGGCACACGTCCGCGAGGAGAACACGAAGGAAGCGCTGCAGAGCGTTACGGACAAATGCGTCAAGGCGGAATCGGATCTCACCGCAGCCAGGAACCAGCACGAGCAAGACCAGGAGGCCATTTCCATGCTCCGTCAGAAGCTTGAAGAAAGCAGGTACGCGAGCTCATTGATCACAGATCTGTTGGTGATATGACTGACCGAGTTTAATGCAACACAGGCGGGCTATTATGCGCATGCAGACGGAGAGCCGGCGCATGAGCCAAGTATCGAACCTTACTTTGGACCTGAATCGTGCGGGTTCCTCGGTTATGAACGGCCCTCCCTCTTCTCGCCGCGCATCTTCCTTCCAACCACTAACTGGGACGCCCGCGGGCCGTATAGGCCATCGACGGATCTCTTCACTCTCTGATCCGGGGCTCGCAGGCTGCGACGAGCAGGGCCAGTGGCTGTACTCTCCACCGCCCCCCTCGCAGACCGCCACCTCCCCATCTGTGGGCGGGCACAATAGACGGATATCTGGCATGTTCAACTGGGGCAGCGCGAGCGCAAACGCTTCGCCGCCCTCGCCTATCCCCGACACGCCCATCTACACTTCTGCGGAAGCCGAAACGCTGCGTAAGGAGCTGATGGCGGTGAAGGAGCAGCTGGAGGAGACGAAGCATGAACTGAGCGAGGCTCACGAGGCGAATGAGGCGAATGAAGCGTGCGTGCGTGCTCTGAGGACGTTCATCTCGGAGAACAGTGTTGGTGAGCAGAATGTTCGGGGCAATGGGAGACCGCAGCCACCAGCTTCTGCTCCTCCATCCGGTTCAGGCGGCACATCACGATGGGGATTCAAGCTGTGGGGATCGACTGATGCATCTGCGACCAGCACACCAGTTGCTACTGCTCCGCCTCCGATATCAACTGCTGCATCTGCGCCCTCACCAGTTGCAAGGAAGCTTGGTGGTCTGTTCAGCCCGCGATCAAGTATCTCGTCGACGGCCGCGGTGCGCCCACCATCAGCTGCTGCCCCTCCCGAACCGACGTCCGCTGGTTCGGACACGTCCTCCGTGGCTGAATCTGCCGCCGAGCCTCTTAGTCCCGTCTCCTCAATTCCTCGTGCCAGTGTGCTCATACATGACGACGGCATGTCTTTCGACGCAAGCTTGTCTGAAAACAGCAAGGCGATCGACTTGACGGCATAATAACTGGTCCCTGACTTGGGTTTGTCTTGTTGATAGGAAACGATACGAGCAGAAGAGGGCCGGTATAATCGACTTCGCAGCGGTATTTACCCTACGCGCACGTTTTAGTTCACTCATAGTTCGAATTCGTTCGGTCATCTTTAGAAATGTTCGCCGGCTCGTATCGTGAATGTACTGTACCACATACGACATGGACGTATAGAAACGCGATAGCAAGTATAACGTGGAAACGGCCGGGCCTGTCGCATCGTAGGCTCGGCGAAACCTGGGCAAACTGCTCCGGAATGTCGAGAAGGCTGGTTGTACATATGATGCACGGAAGGTAGCATTGTGCGCATTGCATCATCCAGCTAGCAAGCGATCAACGCGATGTATGTGCAGGCAACAAGATTGTACACTTTGATTCCTCTGAAAAGAACTAGTATAATGAATGAAACCGTGGTCCAAAGGAGCAACACCGAGCGGACAGATGATAAACGGAGTGTACTTCAGGCGGTAGGTATTGTTCACGGTTGCATTCAGCGACCATTGATAGTGGCTGTGGAGTCTCTCGTATTTGTATGAAGTCCTCCGTTAGCTCCCTCGTCTGGTATCCGGTTAGGGTGTTCAGGAATCTTCGCAATCTCAGCCTTCGCCTCTTCCCATGCTGCGAGATTCTGAACGTCTCATGAGTAACGTGTGAACCAGACAACTTTTAACGAGCCCACCTTCTTGCACCAGTCACGATGACTGCGAGCCATACTGATGGCCATCTCCCTCAAGTCTGCAACCTTCTGTCGCTGGAAGCGATCTAAATCGGCCTGGATAGTCGAGCCGCAGTACTTGAGGTCCTGCGTAGATAAGTGTAACGCATCTTCCAGCTGCGAGCCACGAGTTACATTAATGAGCACATCCGCGAATTCTCCCGGTAGAACATACCTGTGATATCGTCTCCCGGGTCTTGCTAATCTGATTGCGCCTCGCAGTCTCGGGATCAACGTCCATCATTCCGTGCAAGGTGTAGCTCAGTGCATTCAGTAAACCCATACCAGGGGCTCGTCGCCTCACAGGGTTGGGTCCCGGGTGCGGTGGAAGATACATTGATGGCTCAGGCTGTGGCGCATCCGGCTCCTGTCCATCCTCTCCGTTTCCCTCCGCGATTCCACCTCCTTGGTGTAGATTCGGACGTGAGGAGCTGAGGGAGCCGGCACGTCCCTGTGCGAGGGCCTCCTCAAGCCTCTGCGCTTCACGCTCGTTTTTCTCAAGCTCCTCAAGTTGCTCACGCTTCGCTTCCAGCTGATCCTGAGTCATCTCATATTGTGCGTGCTTCTGGTGTCGGTACGCCAACAGCTTCTTGATGATAGACGCAAACTGGCTGTATTCGTGCAATGGTTCCGCCCAATCCTGCTCTATCTCTTGCAGCTGCGGAAAATTGGGGCATGTCAATTGTGCGTGAGAGTATTTAATCAGGCTTAGCTTACCAGATTGTTTGTGGACATAGATGTAGTATCGATGGCTTGGCCGGTCTTCTCGACTGCTGTCGAGAGCTGGCCAGTCTCATTCAGACTGAAGCCATTCAATGTTGCGCCGAGCTCAGAATAGTCTTGTGCGAAGTCTGATAGCCATTGTCAACTCTGCGCCGACATACTCCGCGGTGTGGCACGTACCTGACCATCGTTTCATCGCCCGCCGCGTCACCTTCTCCATTGGCCCACTCATGTGTGCAGCAAACTTGTTGGTGAATATCTCTGAGTCGGAGAATCGTTGATCTGGCTTGCGCAAGGGGTGTGAGGCAGATGGAGTGGGCAGCGCGGCGTATGCAGGTGATGCGTTCTGATCGGTTGGGTTATGGGATGGTGCTTGTAGAATATTCTTGGGTAATAATGATATTGGTGGTGAGTGCAGAACCTCTGTCTATCCAGACCATCAATCTCAAAAACAAAGTCACATGAGAAGGACAACGGAGATGCATACCCAAGAGACCTCTCCGTCCAAGAATCTGTGAAATACATGTTCGTTTGAGAGTATAGGATGTCTGGCGATGCGGTTCAAGAATGTTTGAAGCGTCCGCTTACGCCGCGCAATCATGGCAGCGTCTTCCTTTGCTCTTGCCTGCTTTACAGCATAGTCCCCAATGGTCTGTTTTGAGGGTATCGGAGGGATAATGAACGTTGGGTACAATTTGACGAGGTTGTTCCGTAGCGACTCGAATTCTGAATAGCGGTGCTGGGCCTTAGCATCCTACGCTTACGAGATCAGCTAAGCTAGCATAGACAAGAGCAAATGTACGTACCCCTGCACGAATGACATAAGCTATATACGGTGAAGTCGAGTTCACAGACGTCTTCACTGCGTCCGTGATCTAATGGAGAATAAAGTGAGGTTATCCACAACCATTCACGGAGAGATTTGATTCCTTGGAGCGCGTATATACTAACCGATATCTCTACGTCCTCTCCAGAATGTAGCCACCGATCGCGCGCACAGCAAAAGTCGCTCTTATTCGTCTGCGGCTGCCGATGGGAACCTTGTGAGGGAAATACTGGTCTTCGCGGTGATGGTGATTGCAATGGTGAAGACAAGTCATGCGAGGGTGGAGGAAGTGGTGAAACGGGCTCCGAGACAGCTACTCTCGACATTGAGGATGCCGTGTCCGACTGCAGACGATCAGGCTCTGCCTCGAATGGGTTCTCGTCTTCGATGAAGGATTCCATGATGGCGGTATACAAGAGAGACGGTCAAGGATCAGCAAGAGCTCTGCGCGTTGGATTGCAATTGAGGGTGGTAGACGAATGGAAGACTAAGCTAGAGTGCAGTGTATGTATTACCTTGGACGGCCGAAGCCTTGCGTCACGCGAATAAACAAAGCGCTCGCTCATTAGACGTTAGACAATCGTATTCATTCGTCAAGACATCAGGTCATTGCACTACATACGGCATTGGATCCAAGGCGCATAATCTCGTCCGGGATGGGAGAATGGAAATGGCACTTGAGAGAGATGTAACAACTACGGTGGAGAGAATAGAAACCGAGTAGAAACAAGAAACTTAAGGGTAATGCATGCGATGGGGAGAAAGGAACAGCAGAGGCTACATTGGCGTAGGGGATACAGTGCAGATATGGGAACGACCCCGAGTCCGACATACCAAAGACGAAAATTTGAACCCGAGGATGCGATTTTCAACTCATAAGCCAAAAGACGGCCCAGAGGAGTTTCCACTGCCGCGTTGCATGGAACTCGCAGCACGAGATTTGTGGTTGGGATGGTGATGATGCGTGCGATGAGGCTGCTGGTGGCGGTACTGAGCCGGCTTTGCCATCATCTTGCGTTTCATCATTGCTTTTTCCCTGCGTAGTTCCTTCTTTGACGCTTTGTACGCTTGATGACCAGAAGAGGGGGTCGGCGTACGATCTCCGTCACGCGTCAGGAGATCATTTTGGACTGTGCTTTTGCTCTTGGAGTGCCTGCGGGATTTCTTGTCGTTCGGCTTGGATTGCGCGAGCATAGCGCTGAGCGAGCTCATGCCACCAAACACACTGAGTCCAGTATCGGAAGCAGAGCCTTCCATGTTGGAAGCGATGGCACTTTCACGAGTGCGTCGGAAAGTCGCCATTGGAATGCGGTCCCAGCGGCTCAAATTCCGAATCAAAGCACCGTTCCCGACGCTGCTGGCCATCGCCAGTTGACCAAATGACTGGGTATCGTGCTCATAACCGATCGGCTCAGGGTCGAGGAAGGACGGATCCAGCACGTCGTCAAGGTCGATCGCATCAGTGGACGGAGCCTCTGACGTCGGCACTTGTGACTGAGTAAACGTCTCATCAGAGGATTGGGTTGATGAGAGAGCCGACTCAGAGGGCGGATCAACCTACGTCACACATTCGGCTAAGGTTAGCGCGAGTTTGCATACACAGAGTACAGATACGTACAGCGCCAGAACCAGACCCATTACAATCCGCTTCGAGACGCTTCCTGCGGCGCTTGGCAAGTGCTTGTGACCTTGGAAATGGGCTCGGGACGCATCCCCCTTTCCCGTCGATGACAGCGGAAGCATGCTCGCTATGCGCTACAGGATTGAATTCTCCCATCGCAGGGGCACCACTGGCATGTTTCCTAAACGGCGTATAAGACCTTCCTGCAGACTTCTCCATCTCCATATCCTCCAAATCCTCTAATGAAATCCTGCCAGAGAGGATGTCTGCGGGAGTAGGCGCAGAGGCCGTCTGCTTGGCCGGAAAGGACGCAAGAGCGATACGGACACTTTCTGAGGCATTTGGGGGCAGCTCCGGAGAGCTGGGAATGGTACCGACTGTGGAGAGAGGGTCGATAGCCGAGACAGTAGTCGGCCAGCGGAACAGCATCATCGCACGGGAATTAGGCAAACCGTCCGAGTCGACAAGCTCATCCTCGGTGGTCTCACCGTCTGTTTCCTTCAGAAGCATGTCGTCCACTGTCTCGGAGCCGCCCGACTCAGACTGAGTGTCATCTTCTCGGCTGTTTTGCATATCCACGTCCCCGTCAGCTGCTTGTAGTCCGAGACCGAGATCGAAGAGGTTCTGCGATGTGGTATTGCTCATGGGGATGTGGCCATCCCAGCCAAAAGAGAGACCGTCGAGCTCCAAGCCGAACTCGAACTCGCCCGGCGCCCGACGCACTTGCACGGACGGATCGATGTCCATGAGAAACAGAGCGTCCTCCTCATCAGCGGACATCGAACTTGCAGGCTCGGAATCCGACCAGGGGTCAAATGGATCGTGGACATGCATCCCCGGCGAGGACTCAGATTCGGAAGACGAATCATCCAAATTGGCGAAGAACAGATCGGCATCGAGAGACGACTCTTCATCATCGCTCCAGCCGGGTCCTCCGTCGCCGAAAGTCACCCCGATTCGGCTGCTTGTATCGTCGTCGTCGACATCCTCCAATCCACCACCCTCTGTGTCCGCATCCTCATCCGCATCGTCAGCAACATCACTTTCACTGTCGGTCTCGCTGTCTTCATGGTCACCGCTGCTTGCGCTGCTATCAATATCAGCGTCCTCTTCGTCCAGTCCCACACTGCTCTGTCTCGGCCGAATCTCCCAACTGCTACTCGCATGATCATGTCTTTTCCCCTCGTTCGAAACTCGTCTGTTTTCGCCCTTCGTGAACTCACCGCGTCGCAATGACAGTGTCTCTTCGTGAACCTCCGAGTCCAGAGAAGACAGGTCCGAGTCGCTACCAGACGAATCTGATGAACTTGTATGCGACGACGTTGATGCGGCAGAGACGAATGTTGGGAACCTCTCGGAATGCGCATCATCGCTGAATGACTTGATCGGGTTCTTGACATACTTCGGAGCAGACGCTTTACGGCCGATCGTGGTTTTGCCCTTGTGCTTCTGGCCGCTTCTTATAACCGCAAGGTTCTTCTTCGCCGCGAGGTGCGTGCCAACTTGCTTGCCCTTTCCTGCCTTTCCACCGCGATACGAGGAAGAGCCGTGAGTGTCGTCTGACTCTGCGATTCCATTTATCGAGCCTTGACGCGACGCTAATAACGGTGCTTTTGCTTCTTCTCGTGAGGCAGCGATCGCCTTGGGAGGGCGGCCTCTGCGTTTGGGAGCAGTGCGATTCAGGACACTGGCCGCCAAAAGATGGGCATTGGTGCCTGTAAAAACGGAACTCGCTGGACCATCGTACGGGTTGGGTGGAGACGAGCTTAGCAGCGTGCGTTGCTGCACTCCGCTGACGCCTGTCCCGACAGGACCTGTGGTCGCCCGCCTGCCGAATTTTAGACTGGGGGGAAGGGTCAACTTGATTTTTAAGGAAGTAGTCGTCGCTGAGCCGCTCGCGGTAGAGGCGTTCGAAGTAAGCGTAGAGCGAGCCGAAGCTATGGATGCGTTGTTTGTGCTGCTCTGAGTGGGAGCAGCTCTGTTCTGACAGGTGCATTCGCTCTCGCAGACCGGACATATGTCGTCGTCGTCGTCCTCCGGAGAAAGAGGGCTCGCGTCTGTGACGGCGCCTACGATATGGGGATGAGCAGACGACATTGAGGGAGCTTTTTGTTTTTGGAGATCTGCGCATGTGGATTAGTGTCATCTTCATTCAACGCAGATGGGTATGGAATGTGTAAAGGGTAACGGGACACAACGGCGTCATGCGGCATGTATTTACTGAGGACGGGCGTACGGGAGTTCGGTGACATTGATCGTAGATAAGAACGATCAATATGAGGCCCGGCCGCCGCAGGCCAGCAGGTCTTACGATGATGAGGTAGTCGGGGGATACACCGAGCGTGGTGAGAGGCAACGAGGCGAGCACTGGGCCCTGGTGAGAACGAAGGCGGAACACGTACTTGAGACCATGTTCTTTTTTGCCATTTGTTAGAAGAAACTGGCATCTGTTTTGCGAATAATGATCCAGGTTGGCTGCAGGGTGCCTAGGGCAGAGAGATAGCGAGGGTAGGATGCAAAACGCTCCGGAGGGTGAGACACGGCCGAGCGCTCAGCGCAACCGAAGTCGTGGGATTGAGTCTTTGCACGCGATCAAATATTCAGCTGCCTCGCCCCATCATCTCTATCGTTCCTGTATCCCACAATTTATTTTCACCTATTTTTTCTCTCCGTCATACCAAACGCTCGCGTTCAGAATTCCTCATCGGTCTCCGCCCCAAAGCATGTCTCGTATGTATGTTCTTACGCGCAACAACTTAGTCTGAGTTGCTGAACGTTGACATGCATTTCAAAGACGGTCCCTCGCTCAGCAGTTGATTGAACTGTCCGACGCTGCGCCTGTCGGTGCGTATGTTCAAAGGATCAGGCTTGCTCGTACTCAAACCGGTCCTCCCATCAGACTTCGATCCTGAGGATGTGCTGGCGGGCGTGAACCCAGAAGACGAGCCTGCGCTCGACAACTCCGCAGCTAGAGACCATTATGTTGATGTCGCGTGAGTCTTGATGTCTGCTATCTGACAAGCCTGCTCACGGAACAACCACCTTTAGTCCCTCCACGTTGCGCAAACTGAATCAAGCCGTATCAGATCCGAAGTATGAAGGCGTTCGCGCCACACGCAAGCAGCTTTTCGAAAATGCGAATAGGGGTACCGAAAGCGAGTCAGAAGCAAGCTCAATGGAAGATGAATCGGTGCCTCGCCAGTCAGGAGACGAGGGACAAGAGACCGAAGATGAAGACAGCAGTGGGGACAGCAACGTGTCTTCTCATACATTGAGCGAGGATGAGGGACCTCGACGCGACAGACCCTCACCTGACACTCCAAGCGCTACCGCTTTGAATGAAGCACGCAATCCGGCCGAGACAGAACATAACGATGACCTTGCATTCACTCTTCGCAGGACCCGCGAAGAAGATCGCGAAAAGGGCAAGGCCGTCGCCCGTCAGATCGTGCGTTTTAATGTATTCTGTTCGTGGTCATAACCTGAGGTCGGCTTTCTATTGCAGGGCCTTTGGGATAACCTGCTAGATGCGCGAATACAGCTTCAGAAAGTTGTTACTACGGCAAATAGACTACCGGAGGTAGGCTCGTCTTTAGGGCAATGTGGCATATGCGTGTTCCTCTAATCGATCGACAATAGGCCGTGCACCTTGCAGAGCTCATGCGACATCAACCTGCACGCGATTCTCTTGAAACCATGTTCCGGGAAGCGGAGGCGCTTACCGAAGAATTGTTCGCACTGCAGGAGGTGAGGGGCGCTTCGTGTCGCCAATCGATGAGGCAACTGATCCTCGTGCAGGGGCTTCTGGAACGTAATGAATCTATCGCAATTCCTCCACGCAAGCGGCGCAGGATAGCCACCGAGGAAGAGATGTCGTATGACCACTCCGCCTATCTTGGTGACCTCTCCTCAGCTGCTTCTGCGCTCGAGGCGAGCTATCACTCGCACCTCGTTCACACGTTGGCGAAGTGGTCTGCCAAGGTTCAGGCTGTTGCACCGAGCGTTCTGCTCGGCAATCGCAACGCCTTCAGTAAAGATACGAGAAATCAGAATGGCGTGGTAGGCATGGTCGACGACATTCTGCGGACCGACGCCAGCAAGCTGCTCAGCCGGACGCGCACTCGCAAGAGCAAAGGCAAGCGACTGGGATCTACTGATGGTGAAGGCAATGGAGACGATGCCGAAAAGGAAGACACAGAACTATTCGATGATCTCGACTTTTACCAACAGCTACTGCGAGACGTCATTCGGGCGCGTGGGAGCGACTCACAGGGCGGCGAACAGGACTGGATGGCTCATCAGAGGGAAAGAAAGGCAAAGCACAAACAGAAGATCGACACGAAGGCGAGTAAAGGAAGGAAGTTGCGCTATGAAGTCCATCCGAAGCTGCAGAACTTCATGGTGTCCGTTCCTGTGACGCATGGTTGGCACGAGGAGCAGATCGATGGGCTATTCAGTTCGTTGCTTGGAGCGGGCTAATCTATCATGTATCAACTCCAGAATGCGATTTTGTTTGCATTTGTTCAATTGGCGGGGCGTTTCTGCCCCATTATTCCTTGAGGCAGTCACTCGTGGTCTGCATTTACAAAGAGCTCGATATACATGCGAACTGCAGTCAGGAATCAGGATGGCTAAAAATACACATTACGCAAGATTATCGATACAACTCCTTATGATGGGTCGACCTTCCATCCATTTACCAAAGTTCATGATCAAAGCGTGCCAGGGTGGTATTTGCATCTTCGACGTCCTTCTGCGCCTTCTTGCGCATGTAGAAGATAGGACAGTCCCTGCTCGTGCACAAGACATCCTGAGAATGATATTGATCAGCAGATCCTCTGCTGACAGCCCGAGCCACCAACCTGATGCAACGAGCCTTGACATCGCTGACATTGGGTCCAGAGCCGGGAGAAGCGAACTTGGAATTCTGATGTCGTTGTGACCTGACCGGGACAGACTCAACGTTCTGGTCACAAGACCTTATTTTGAACCGCATTACCTGCTTCTGATACAGCTCCCCAATTCGTGGTCGGCAGTTGTTACATACGGCGCCGTCTGCCAGATGCTATGTCAGTACTTGCCTGACAGCCCATTCAAAAGGTAGCTCACCCTTGATGCTGTTGTTCGCACGTAGCGGCGTCTTGCAGCCCATACACGTCGCTGTCTTCACCGCAAACTTCATTAAACCGCCGACAGTCGGAGTGGCAATTTGAATTGTGCGAGTGTGTTCGCCAGACACTGACAGGGTATCCCGTTAATACCACACCCACCACTCGAACAACAGTTGACTTACAGAGCGACGTCGCTTTTTCGCCGAGGATGGGCTCGAAGATCCTCATCAAGGGATTGGAAAGTTGGTTCTCGAGATAGTACTTGGTGTCTATAGGGATGTTGTTCTCCAAGACGTAGATGGGATCCTCTGACTTCTCATACGCCGCAGCACCTGTGAGTAGGCAATGTCAGTTGCGACATACTACCTATGATATGACTATCGCACCTTTCACACCCTTGATGATTACATACGCCACACGGTCACCGAGAGCAGGGGCAGAACCTGTGTAGTGATAGTCGTCGTCAATATCGGCAGCATGGCAGATCGTTTGGTTTTCTGACGCACCTGCATCTCGTTGCTTCATGCGCTCCGCCAACTCAACATGCGCTTGCTTTGCAGCGTAATCTACCATTACAGTATGTTAGCGCACTTTCTGTTTGCGCAATCTCAGGAGCCACCCTACCTGACTTCGCAAGAGCCTTTGTGATCACAAGTTGAGACATGTCAACCTTGTTCTGTAGGAGATCGGAGATGATCTGCTTGGTATATCTGAGCTTAGTCATTAGCACAACCTTGCAGGCGAAGTGTTTCATGCTCACTCCTCGGCACCCTTGACATCGCGGTCGATGAGCATCTTGTGCAGACATGTCTCAATAACCGTCGACACAAGCCGGCAATTGTCCCGTCGCACAGTCTAGCACAAAATCGTATCAGCCCTCGTCCAAGCATGACATCACCCCAACGATGCAGACCTCGATACCCTTTGTGTCCATCTTGTCATATTTATCTGGTCTAGTCCAGTACAAGCCGGCATACCGCTTCTTGCTGATCAGCAAATACGGGAAATACACCTTCTCGAACTCGAGCTTGATCGGTTTGATAAACTTTGCGGTTACGAAATCTGCTGCCTGGCTTCCCAATGCCATCACGGTAGGCAGATCGGTAGGCCCGAACTTGACCATGACAGAATCTGTGTCACCATAGATGATCTGTGCGTCGTGCGAGTGGCCGTTAGCGACGCAGTACTCTGCCTCTACTTCCTATGGTAGTCAAACTCAAATCAGACTGAGCTGTTCATGGGGATGGGTAATATAATCCTGACCTGTTTCGTCTTCTCGATCATTTGACGGCCATAGGCTGTGGTACTAGACGAGATAGGCAGACAAGGCAGCTTGCCGATAGTGGCGCCCGTGAAACCATATACAGAGTTCGCACTGATCTACAGCAACAGCCAGTCAGACGCGTTCATAGAGAATACCATAGACCGCCCACCGACCTTCAGCGCTAATTGTCGACCATCGAGCACTGCACGCTTGAACGGATCTGTCTCTTTCTTCAGATCAGCCTTCGCACGCTTTCGTGCAGCGATGAGATCCTCAAGGATGGTAGGAAGAAGACCCTTTCGCTTCGATGATGTGACAAAGAAATCTGAAGGGTCGCCAGTCAGCGATACCAATCACTGCAGAAACAACAGTACGTTTCACCGTTATTCGGCGTCTGAATGTAGTCTACATCCTTCACGAGGTTGAGCCTGTCGATAGTGGACTTCTCCAGCAGCGTGGTATAGCAGAGATTGTGCGCCATCATAATGGATGGATACAGGGAGCTGAAGTCCAGCGTCGCGATGGGCACATCGTAATAGCCCTTCTTGGGCTCAATGACGGTAGCACCTTCGTACTGCTCATCCGACCCTGAGATCGTGATGTGATATGAATACCAGACGGCCGAGCGAGATAAGGAGCATCGTACCTTCACCCTTCAGCGCAGGTACGATGTAGCCATCATCGTTCGCTTTCCGGAACAGCTGCGATAACACCTTAATCGACTGCCCTCGCGACAGCAAATAGTTGAACGGCACCCCCGTCACGCGGGCCATCTCCGTATAATTGACGAAGCACATCAGCTTGTCCATCAGCCTCTGCGGCAAATACGCATCCTTCAGACAATACACCGCCAGTCGGCGTCGCGACTCCGGCCCGCCATTTTGCAGAAATGTGATAACCGAGTGGTGAACGTCTTCTTTCTGCTCGCCGAGGAATCGCGCACAGACGGAATTGAGCGTGTAGCTGCGTAGCTTGTGTTCGCGCTGCATGTACTGCAGGATATCGACTTGCAGTCTGCCGTCCAGTGCGGTGTCTTTCGAATCGCGTTGGCCAAACGCCTTTGACGAGAAGTGCGTTTCCTTTGTCTGTGATCTCACACCTGATGAGGATCACGGTCTCATTAGTGAGCGCAGTCATTTTGTACGCGAATACCAACCTCTCAAGCGTCCTAAAAACGGGAATTTATCCGCCTTGAGGGCTTTTGCTCGGTCGAGTAGATATGGTAAATCAAAGTTTGCAATGTTATATCCGATAACGACGTCCGGATCGACTTCCTCTACGAACTTCTGCCAAGAAAGCAGTAGTTTTGCTTCGTCGTCGAAGGATAAAACCTGCGAACCGACAATGTTCGCACAAGAATTGAGAGTAAAGACATTGCGGATGAACGGCTTGCTTTCGCCTGGAGGATGGGCAGTAAGTCAGAAATTCTAGACCGCATGGCTTTTTAGCGATGTGGACAACGAACCCTGCCGCGTGACCATGTTCGCGATCTGGATGACAGGGTCGACATTCGCCTCAGGGAATATGCCTTTACGGCCAGCACATTCGATATCAAAGCTGAGTATGCGCAATGGCGCGATGTGCGACCACTGTCCCTCTGGCGAATGTGAGATGAATTTGTCCCATCTTCGTCGACAGGATATTAGTCGCACCAACTGGGAAAGGCCCGAAGTCGTACCTGACAATCAGCTCTATTTGACAATGGGACTTCTTCTTGCTCGGTTCCACCAGCTGGTAGTTGCACGGCCGGATCTCGATCCAGTTCATCCCCACTACCTGCGTCGGCTTGTTAGTCGCGAATGTTCATTAACACGATTTTACCAACCTTAGTATCAATCATGAATCGGAGGGTGTAGGCAATGTTGCTCTCATACGTGTTGACTGACCCAGGGAAGAGGTCGCGGAAGTTGCATTCTCCTCGCTCGAAGATGCGTGATCACCAGCGGAGCACCTCAGTCACGAGCATTTTGCCGTAGAAATGAGCTACTCATCTCGTATTCTCGGCAGACTGCGTTGGTCGACGACAGTAATTTTGAGGAAGATCACCCAGTCATCACCTCTGTACCCCCATAAACTGCGGCGCTTGACGAACTCGACGCTTCTAACCGCGCCACCATTTCCAGCGTTCTAGTAGGGCCCTTCTTAAGCTGAGTTGCACACTACAGCGAACGGCACTCACGTTCAGGTATTGTTCAAAGGACCAGGTATCACTCTCCGCAAAGCCACGAGGGGCGGGTATATAGAAATAGGGCTGAAAGTCTGTGATGATTGCCAGTACGCTGTGTCCAGCCTGTGCACGCATGAGAATCGAAAGTAGTGGAACGTATACGGAGAACGTACTTCAGTCACACCGTACATCCTGAGACCAAGGTTTCCGCTCCCTTGGTCAATTGCTTCTTCAATATCGATCTGCTGGAATACTGGGTTCACTCGTGAACAAGGCCACCCACATCGCGCTCAACGACTAAGCTTACTAATGCTGTCCTTCGTCTCATCAAGAGGCGGCAGAGTCGCTCTTGCCCAGCAATCTGCACCTCCCTCAGCGTCTGCAGTGCATATCGCGCATCAGTTAAACATCGATGAGCGCGCCATGGCAGTCTCGTACCCTTCGATTCGCCCGCCTCCTCTTTCAACCGCTCAAGGACATCTGCAAATGAGGGCTGTTGCGTTTGTTGAGAGCCGCTGAACGAGGAGCCTTTCTCAGCGAGTTTCCTCCGCTTGGCTAACGGTTGGCTCTCCATAGCGTTCTTGAACGTCTGCGTAGCAGTGCTGTAGACATGGCGCGTCGTGACGTGATTCCCTGATACAAGATACGACTGTACTGACCGAAGCAAGGGCACGTTCTCTTTCGATGACAATGTGGACATATCTCCCGCGTAATCTGCGAAGAAATAGCAGAGCAGAGGAAGAAATGTCGCGGATGCGACGCAGTGGATGTGACGGCGAGACGCGTCTCGGCTAATGCACACGACGCGCTTGGTCTTGTTTGGATTGTGGCGCTGGACTTGTTGCAAATATTCTGATGCGCTCTCGATCGCAAGTCTGCCGCTTCACAGCGTTCGGTGATCTTCTCGACTCATTCGTTTACTCTTCTCGGAACCGTCTAGCGTGCGCCTTAGTCATCACAGCCAGCAGTCTATTAGCTTTGTAACTCTAACGTTCTACGGAAGTTCTGCATCTCGACTTGTATCCTCCACCACATTGTACCGGATATCCTGCAGCTACTTTGCATCCATTCTCATTTCCACCTGTCTACATCTGCTCTCAATTTCGAGCTTGTCATGTCTTTCACGCCGCAATACCATGCCTTTTCCCTCCCGCGGGAACTTCTGGACACTTTGATACCCCGGAACGTCGTGAACCAAGAGCCATCCCCTCCTGAACCCGAGCCTGTGGCTACTCCGCCCACTGGGACCACCTCACGCGCATGCAACATCTGTCTCGGCGCAAGCTTTGCAGACGTAGACGAGCAGCGCATTCACTACCGTTCCGATTGGCATCGATACAATGTCAAAGTGCGTCTCAACGGTGGCAATCCGGTCACGGAAGCCCAGTTCTCTCAATTAGTGAATGGTGCGTGTTAGAGGGTTCTAGGAGTTTTGTTGTATCTAATCTGAAATAGGTCTGGAGGACTCGATATCAGGATCTGCTTCCTCGTCCGAAGGCGAATCCGACGACTCGGACGCCGTAGCCGCTCTCGTACAGAAAACTCGCAACCTTGTGAGGCCGCCTTCTCCCGACTCCGCCTTGCCATCAGTTCCCAAGACGCCGCTGGCGTGGTTCCACTCTCCGCCGTCCACACAGATCGGCTTGTACAAAGCCATCTTCCCAACCTCCGCAACACCGTCAACATATCTGGACGAACTGAAGGAGATGCAGAAAGGTGGAGAGGAAGGGCGCACATGGGCCATTTTCATGACTGCCGGAGGGCACTTTGCGGGTGCAATTGTTCGCGTGAAGGCTCCGGATAGCGAGGTGGATGACCAGGGCGGCTTGACTAAGAAGGGAAAACCGAGGAAGCCGAAACCTGACATGGAAGTGCTGAAGCACAAAACGTTCCACCGATACACTAGTCAGTGAAGTTGACGCCTTACCGTACAAGACATGCTAACTTCGGCTCCCTCCATCAGCTCGTAGAAAACAGGGTGGATCTCAATCGATTAATGACAACTCGAAGAGCAAAGCGGTCAGTGCCGGCGCCATGCTTCGTCGATATGGCGAGCAGGCGTTGCGAGATGTGAGCTTTGTACAGTCGCTTGCTCTGACAGTTGCGCTCACTCAAGAAAGTAATGTAGGACATCCGCAACCTCTTGCAAGATTGGGCGGAGGAAATCGATCATTGTGAGCGGATATTCATCCGCGCTAGCGTCTCGAATAAACGCATCTTCCTTGATTACGACGGCGCTGTAATTAACAAAGGTATGTCATGCGGCGGCGTACCCCTCGGAATCTTCATGTTGATGTCTGATTATAGGTGATGAGCGCCTGCGCACGTTCCCTTTCCCCACACGCCGTCCGGTAAGTCTAGTCCCCGCGTTGCAGGTATTACAGCTAACAGTTTCCTAGACACAATCTGAACTATCGCGATGTCTCTTGGAGCTCACCCGCGTGAAGGTGTCCCATTTGACTGAAGAGGCGCTTCGCGCGCAGGACGAGGCTTTCCTTGCCTCTCTCCTGAGGCCGAAGCCAAGACTTCCTGTTGCAGCATCACCTTCGGAACAGGAGAAAGTCAAGGAGAAGCCTCATTTCACAAAAGAAGAGGACTTATTCCGTGAGAAGTGGAGTCGACTACTGGATATGATCATGAGAGGTCGCTTTGATGCACTCAAAGCCTTCTGGGAACGTGAAGGCTCAAATATTGGAGGCATTGATGTGTCAGTACCAGAATGGGCTGGGGAGAGAGGTGGGACCCTGTTGCAAGTGGCTGCACATGCTGGTCAAGCAGAAGTGACAAAATGGCTGCTTGAGGACATGCATGCGGATCCCACTGTTGACGTGCCAACCAGCACAACGACGGAAGACGACGGTCATATCTCGGATGCATCGGATGCGCCGGCATTGCCTGTTGGCGTGCGACGCACAGCGTATGATCTCGCGCGCACCCGCGCAGTCCGCGACGTGTTCCGGCGATGCGCAGCTGCCCATCCTGATTGGTGGGACTGGCTGGGCGCGGAGAAGGGTGCGCGGGTGTCGAGCGTGCTGAGCGCGGAGATGGAGGAGGGCAGAGAAGAGAAGAAGAAGGCGCGGCGGAAAGGCCTGAAAGAACGCGTCAAGGAGCGCGAGGCGAAGGAGAAGGAGAGGGAGGTGCGGACGCCCAGTCCGCCGGTGGTGCCAGAAGTCAAGGAGGTGCGCACGGCGCCGAAGCAGGTTGAGAACCCGAACGGGCCGCGGAGGTTGGGCGGCTCGGCGGCGGCGAAGGAGGGACTTGCGGGGTTGACGCAGGAGATGAGGGCGAAGGTTGAGCGGGAGCAGAGAGCGCGCGCTGCTGAGGCTCGTTTGAAGGCGACAAATGCAAATGGTGGTCGTTGAACAAGCGACTCTCTTTTGGTTGGGGGGCCATTATATCATGATATTATTTCCTTATCACAGCTTTACGGTGCACACGTGCAAACCTTGAGCTCGAATGTTCAACTTCGGCAGCCACGCGAGCATGTGTGTCAGTTATTCGATGCATCATTCCCGCCACCCGCACCGATCTTTCGGGCAATTATCTGCCCCACCTTCCAAGACGTTTAATGCGCTGTGATGCTAACATGTACATATGCTGTTTTATAGAGAAACCGGTACATTAAGGTAATTACTAGTGGCATGGGCTATGCTATCGCGAAATAAGGGTTGCTCGGAAGGTTGACATCGACACGTCGAAAGTTGTAAACTGCTATCACTTTTGGGCACTGCTGTAAGATTGCTCTCTCATGGCCCAGCATGGGCAGCAGGTTGAGAATATTAATCAAGCTGGCCTTTTTTTTGTCGGGTGGAATGATGTCGGTGACACGTTGCCTTTGCAGAAAACGATCGATCGAGATTGATTGAACATGGCCGATTCCGCATACAACTTACACGTAAACGAGCGGCTGTCTTTGTACTCTTTCCATCTCGCTCGACGTTGACCGACTGTATTTGTCTTTCTTCTCACCGCCTCGACCCCCGAAATGGTCTCTGCGAGTTTCGCTGATCGTCCGCTGAAGACGCTGGTTCTGTTCGACATGGATAACACGCTGACTCCAGCTCGCCAAGTATGTTCCACGCGCAGGACGTGAATTCAACAGTGATCAACGATGTTTATAGAAGGCTTCCCTGGAGACGATGCAATTGCTTCGCTTGCTGCGCAAGAAAGCTGTTATTGGCGTTGTTGGAGGCTCTGACTTTGTCAAGGTCTCCGAGCAGCTGTCTGTGGCGGGATCCACAGGTCCGTGCAATGATCTCCGGCTGCGGACGCACTGACTCACTGTGCTAACAGTGCTAGAGGAGTTCGACTACACCTTCGCTGAGAATGGCTTGACGGCGTATAAAATGGGGCAGAGCTTGCCGTCGCAGTCGTTCATCAACTTCCTTGGTGAAGAGCGGTACAAGAAGCTGGTGAACTTCATATTGCACTACATTGCGGATCTTGACATCCCGATCAAGAGGCATGGCGTCTATACTGTTGCCGCAATGACTCTCTGAACAAAGGCTTGCGCAGGGGGACATTCGTTGAATTCCGCAGGGGCATGATCAACGTCACTCCACTTGGACGCAATGCAACGTAAGCGGTGTCCTGGTTTTTTAGAGCATTCTTGTGTAATGTTATACCATCGGCCCGCAGGACCGCCGAGCGACACGAGTTTGAAGCGTATGACAAGGTACTCGACTTCTTTCCGCACGCGCCGTGACGCTACTGACTTATGCGATCCTGACGCAGCAATATGGAATCCGGACAGCTTTCGTAAAGGTCCTCGAGGAGAAGTTCCCCGATTACGGCCTCACCTTCTCCATCGGCGGCCAAATATCATTTGACGTCTTTCCTACTGGATGGGACAAGACCTACTGTTTGCGTCATGTCGAGGACGAACAATTTGACGAAATTCATTTCTTCGGAGACAAGACCCACAAGGTTCGTCGTTGTGTTGTGGCTTTTGATCTTGCAGTTGAAGCCCCGCAAACTCTAGGGTGGGAATGATCACGAGATATATTCCGACTCACGGACTATCGGACACTCAGTTACGAGCCCTGCAGACACCATCCGTGTCGTAAAGGAACTCTTCTTCCTGGACTGATTAATGCAACAGACTCGCGAACGGAGTATGGACGGACCGTAGCCCGACGTGATGGGTGTCACAGTCTGGCCTAGTTCCGGTAAACAGCTGTGATCAAGGCCTAGGGTAAATTAAATGTGCTCGTAGTTTATGTGACTGTGACTGTGATCATGGAGTCAACCTTGACTTCTTGGACAATGAAATTTATGGCCAACATATGGGATTGATAGAAATCTTGCTGTAGCAAGCTATATCGAAGGTATCATGGAGAATCAGTGGTCGTCATCAAGTACCTTGCGCCGCAAGCAAACTAGGAACGTATACTGAGAGAACACATTTTCAATCATGTGATTAGTGACACTTTTCTCCGTCACATCTTTTTTGATATAGTTAGACCCAGCATAACGGTCACGCCACCGGTGACTAATGGTCCCCAATCTTCAACTATTTACATGTTGTTTGCTAACGTGGGTCAACCATACATTGACTGTCGATGTCAAGTTTTCCCTTTTGCCATCAGCTTCACTGTCATTGGTATTACTGCAATCCTGTGGATACCAATGGATATCACCTTAACCTCTGAGAACATCATCGAGCATGCCCAACATGTTCTATGTCTAATCGCTTGTGAATGGGGGGGATGTGAGGCAAAGTTGAACAGCTGGCGACAGCTACAGGAGGTATGTAGCCTTTTTCTTTATGGTTCTTTAGCTTTCTGGCACTAATATCATTTTATATAGCATCTCAAGATGCACTGTCGAAACCAGCAGGCTAAAGTAAGCTTCATGGCTTAGTGCAATAAGCAGTGAAAGACGTAACATAACTTAATCACTGTAGGGCACATATGATTGTCATTTCCACAGATGTGCTGGTCGCATTCACACATCCTTTGTTGACCTTTGGGAGCATGTCCAGCTCAGCCATCTGTCTCGTATTACATTAATTTGCCCCATCTCTGGTATGTCCTCTGCCTGATCTACAACAACCAGTACAACATTAACCATGGTCACCAGGTTGCCCTCACACCTTCAGTGGCCACCGATTATCACTCGTACCACACATTCAAGATATTCACATGGAGCTGGTTGGCAGACCGATTGCAGAAATCACTGGCAGGCTAAGGCCGACATACAGGCCATTTAGCCCAGTGCTTCGCAACCTGCCACCACTCCCCTCAAACAATGCACCCATCTACATGGTGACAGCCTTGCCCATGAGCAAAGCCAGCCATCCTCGAGGTCAGAGGTCAGAGATGTTGTCTCAGTTCACCCGAGGGTCAAGGAGGATGAGCCGGAAGGAGCTGGAGGAAGAGGAGGATGCTCAGCCATTCAGTGACCTTCCCAACCCTGACATGGAAGCAATCAATTTGTCTGGCAAGCTGATCCTTCAGCCCAGATCAGAGCAGCCATGGCTGCAGCTATCTCGGCCATACAGCATGGGCCTCTCATCTCGAGTCGAGGGGACAAAGCCTCCAGTCAGCATTAGCTACAGGGCTTTCTGCACCAAGTTCCATGGGCTGGAAGAGGCAGCACTCATCAACGGCACAGGAGAGTGGCCTGATGCAGAGGAAGAAGGGCAGTAGAGGATTACAAGGATTGGGCAAGGGATTATCTTACTAGTACATTTTGAAGCAAGCACATTTTGCCGCATGCATTGTCTGCACACGTCGTTACATTGTTTCACAAGTTATGTATGTTGCTCATCGCATGATGTATTGAATAGCATACACACTACATGCAGATCTCGCCGGACAATATCACTCTGCACTGAACTGCTTAAACGAACAAAACACGCTCGCAGTCGAGAAATACAAAAAATACTAAGTCCGACAATGGTGCGAATCTCTGGGCGCGCGCACTCTGGTCTACAGCTGCGCACGTTCTATGTAGATCTGCTTTTTCTAAGTTCCTCCAGGTACCGATGAGCACGTCCAAGCATCCAGATAGTGAACGAAAATTTAAAGTTTGGATAGGCAATAGTTACGCTCTTGTTGAAAATTCCTTCCATCGCTTCTTGAGACCACGAGCCATCCTGACGCGTCAGTAATTACATATTAGGACGACGTACTGATGTTACGTAATTGAATGTCCACTCACGGCTTTCTGTCTCGACATGACAAGGTGTACAGCGCGTTCGATCGGCTCCGCACGAGGATAATGCGCGTAGATGAGCGCGAGTGTCGCCCAGCACGTTTGGACGACTTGCGTTTGCTCGTGTTCGACCCATGTACTTGTTTCGCAGGACTGTAAATCAGTCGATTAAAGTGGTCCAGAATAACTTTCGTCAGGTCACTCTCCCTGCATTGAATAGTCGATTTACCTTATAACTCTCGCCCCAGCCACCGTCCTCTCGTTGATGGCTCAAAAGGAATTCGCAACCTTTGTGCGCATATGAACTGGTGGCATAGGTCTCCCCTACGAGTGCGAGACTCTCGCACGCGAACATAGCCGCATATGTGAAGCAGATACCCCACGAGCCGACCCAGCCACCGTCGGGCGTCTGCGCATCATGTACGTACCTGACCGCACGGTCTATCACACGCCTATCACAGCGTCAGCGCTCACAGTTCACGTATGGAAGTAGGATTGACGGGTGGTAACAGCCACGTACTGTATGTCGTTGGCCCGATAATGTGGGTAATATTTGCGGAAGGTAGACAATGCGGTGATAGAGGAAGTCGTACATTCTGGATAGCTGTGTTCGATCATGATCGCACCTGTAACGTGAATTCAGTGATGCAGCAGCAGCAGATCCGTGGGTCGCGACGGACCGAAGACCTCCGCTGGGTTTAAGTACTCCATCCATCGCGGTCCGCGAATAAGCTCGTAGCTCGCGAAGCCGCCGTCGGCATTTTGCATGCCCAGAATGAGATCTACAGCATCACAGAGCCGCCGTTCGCTGACGAGCTTGGGTGTCGATCTATCTCAAATTAGAAGAGGCCCAGCGTAAAACAAGGAACGCTTACTCAATATGCTTCTGGAGATACAACACCGCCTTCAGACCCTCTCCCGTACAGTCACTGACAATGTACCCTTGCGTTTTTGTACTGAACGGCCAGGCGCCCTTGGTGGGATGTCTATAGCCCGACTGGAAGTGTTTGGGATTGTCCCGTATCTGGCACTGATCGAGCCACTCCAGCGCTTTGATGAGACTTTCCTGATTTTCCTCCTCGAACGCCAGACCACTTTCGACAAGCGCCTGCGTGATAAAAGCGATGTCCCACAGTTGGGAGCCATTCGTACCGCACATCCGCATGCCCTCCGGTCCTATCCACATGAAGTCGGCACGCTTGTCGCGATGGAGCTTGTAGGCGGTGCTATCCGGACCATCTACATGATAGCGCACGATGAGATTCATCATCTTGGACACTGGCCCGAGCGTCTGGTAGCCCGTGTTCTCATCCTCTTGTACTATCAGCCGGTAGCATTTATCGACGCCTGCTTTGCGGAGCGGAGGGAGCGCGCAGTATTCGTAGGCGGTGAGGATGGAATACAAGAAGTCAAAGAGGGCGGTGTGTGGCGCATAAAGGTCTACTTTGCAAATATTGTTGCGCTGCGCCGGCCAGTCAATCATGTGGTAATCTTGGGTATAAAGCTCCTGTCTGGATGTCAGTGCATCGATCAGACAGGCACTACTGCACAAACCTGTCTTAAAGAGTGGATGAGATCATTCTCCTCCATTTTGTAGCGGATAGCATATAGGTACGCCATGGGTATGTAAACGTTGCGGGTATGAATCCACCATCTGTGAGGGTGGAAGGGAAGAGCATCCGGAAGCAACCTGGCCGTTCTCAGATACAAACCGAACTCTCTGCAAAAGTGAATACTGACCACAACTCGGGAGGAATAGGATTGTTTCCATCCCAATCATACACATTCAGAACAGAAAGCCAGAACTTTCCCCAAGATGGCACACCGGTCGCGCCACCAAGCTTGTGAAGGGTCGCTCTTGCTCTCACAAGGGCTGGGTGATCAGGAGAAACACCAAGAATGCGCATGACGGTGTAGTTCATTGCAGTCCCAAATACGGTGGACTGGCCCTCAACGTGCCTGCACGGTCATGACATGACAGCTACAATGGATATAATTTGTGTAATAACGTACAGCCCCCACCCGCCATCTTGCGAATTTGCTCGATTGAGCAGATAGCGGATCATCTCGAGCCTCTCGGGCTCCGTGAAGCCCATCCCTGTCACGTACGAGCCAATGACGAGACCTGGCATGAGGAACATAGGTCCGCCATACTCGCCTGGCCAGTGACCGTCTTTGGCTTGAAGATGCTTGTAGAATGTGTAGCCATTGCGCGCAGCATCCAGCGCGTTCTTGGGTGGTGGCAACGCAGGGGGATTGAGCGGGATGCCGAGCCAGTACTTGTCGATGTCCGTCTGCTCCCAGGCGTTACAATCGTCGTCCGATTCAAGATAGTGCCAGGTGTGACGACCATCCTCAGAAGAGCGCAATCGCCAGCGAGAATAGTCTGTGAAGGGCTGCTCGCCGGTGGCGGGGATGTCGATGGGTGTGTAGCATCGCAACATGGTCGTGTTCTGTCTCCGTTCGTGTCCCGAGTCGACGTGAGTGTTATGTATGCAAGAGGTGGTACGATTCGTGAATATCAGCTTGTTCGGATCCGCTGTCTGATTATGCCTGCTTAAGGTAGTATACGATCGCAGGGAAAGTGGCGAGTGACCTCAGCTCCCCTCCCACCGACCACCCCGCAGAGTCTAGTGGCTACAACGATGTTGTCATGTAGGACCATGCTACGTAGTTACTCATTATTGCCGCCAACCTTCCGACTTAAGAGTAGTGACTACCATTACCTACTGCATTCCGCCTATTCTTTCTTCGTCCCATGCATCCTTTCCGTCCTTTTCATTTCGCCCACAACGTGTAATTAGGCCCGAGCGGCGACCGTGATTCCATTAGTTGGGATAGCGGTATATGAATCGTATTTAAACCGGCGAGTGACCGTGTCGTCTAACACGTCGCGTTGAGCCTAACTCTGCCTAACTTCAATGCGCGTCCATCCTTGGTCCATCCATCCCATCGCCCGTCTTGACCACCCTCCTCGCCATCTGCCTTGGCCAGCTCTCACACGCTTCTCGAGTGGTCTTCGAGTACTGCTAACTGTCCCCTTTCCTCTATCTCGGGAGTACAAAGCTGTCTTTCCTCACCGAGTGTACCAGGCCGGTGAAACCAAGAACTGAAGCCGGACTTTACTGTCGAGATGAGCAGTGGAACGTTCCGCGACTCTTTCATAGTCATCCTGGACACAGGCCGCACGACCATCCGTGCCGGTCTCGGGCTACACGATCTTCTTCGCACCCCCTCAGTCGTGAGTACATACGAACAAGCTGTATCTCTTCATTCATGTGAACGGGCATCACTCCCTAGGATATTCTCGCACGCGTAGGTCTTCCGCGCTCCTTCTTCGCTCCCTCAGACGCGAACGATAACGGGGATATCGCGCAAGGCGACCCATCCATAACCAAGGCTGTGATTGCTAATGCAAAAGTGACGGATTACCTCGTGGGTGTCCAGTTGGATGAGGCTCTTGCAGGGAACGAGGACGTGGCTATCTTCTGGCCGTTTGCAGATGGAGACGTGAGCGATTGGGAGCAGGCAGAGGCGCTCTGGTGAGTACCACATGTCTCCTTTTGACCTGCAGACAAATTATGGCCTCAAGCCGTAAATTTCAAGGGTATCTGCTGATGCTCGGTTAGGAAACACGTCTTCTTTACTAGACTACCGCTTCGCCGATCACAAATGGAGTCGCCCGTGTTGCTGTCCCTCCCTGCAGGTCTCTCGCGCGCAACATACGAGCGCGTCTGCCAGATGTTCTTCGAGCGCTTCAACGTCGCCGGTTTCGGCGTCGTGGAGCGTCCACTCGCCCAGTTCTACTCGGCCGTAACTGCCTCAGGCCAACTTTCAGGCGTGGTGGTCGACATCGATCGTGAATGGACGGACATCACACCAATATCTGACGGGCTGATTGTACAGGGAGCGCGGATGCAAGTGAGGGTTGGCATGAATGATTGTAGGAGACATTTGACAAGAGTGCTGAGGGGCAATCAAAATGTCATGGGTGCAGTACAAGAGATCTTGCAGGAGGAGGGGAAAGACCCAAGCGAGGAGGCACAACTGTCTGTGCTTGAGGGCCTTGCAGACCAGTTATGGGCCGAGGGCCAAATCAAGGTCCTCCATGAGGGCGAAGGGGGCACCCTCGAGGACGATCTCGACGGTTCAAACTCAGGCGAGTTGAACATCGCCGCTATCGTTGTCGCAGGAAAAGAGAAAGCCGTGATCGAGAGCGGGATGAAGAAGAAGGCGGCAAGGGAAAAGGCTAGCGCGGCGGAGCAGGCGAGGGCACGAGAGATCGAGGCAAAGGATCTGATCGAGGTGAAATGGAGGGGTAAGACGGTGACAGTCGGAAAGGAGCGGCACCGATACTGCGAGCCGTTGTGGGACGCGGGACTGAGGGAGCGGAAGGGCAAGGAAAGGCAGACAGCTAATAGAAGGGACGTGCCTGAGCTCCCTTTGCATATAGCAGTTGGAGAGGCGGTCGCGAGGACGGAGGTCGATCAGCGTGCATACATCTGGCAGGGACTGTTCGTGACCGGCGACATCACGGACCACGTCAAAGGTGAGCTGAGTGCAACTCTGCAAACGCGGTGGTAATCTAATAGCTCGCGTAGGATTGGGGGCGGCACTTCAAAGCCGCCTTTCATCATTCCTTCTCGTCAGTCTGGATCCGTCGGGTAATGAGGTCCAGCCGCGCAGCATTCATACGCTTAAGATACCCGATTACTTCGCTGAGTACAGAGAAAAGGGTGATGGATTGGCCTCTTTCTTGGGCTCGAGCATTGTTGCGAAAGTGCGTGTTCCGTTGCAACACCAGTGGTTGAGGTTCACTTGCAAGGCAAATGACTAATGCTTCACTCTCCGTAGATATCATTCGGCGACTCGGCGGGAAAGAACTTTGTTTCGAAGGCAGACTACATAAATATGGGCCCAAGGGCTGTGCTGGGCATGTCGCCATCACTGCTGTAGGATTTGCTGTCTGCTTCGTAAGAGACCCGTCTCAGCGGGCAACTTTCTGCCCTTCATGCAATGATAGGCCGTCGAAGATTCGACGGTGTTTCTACCCAGCGTGGCTGACACGCCCGCCTTTGTTTCGGTGCGATGTCAACGCGCAGTAAGAGCCATGATCGATTGTCTCGATCGTCATAAGTGGCATGAAATGTCCAGGTGATACTGCTTTGCAAATGTGAAGTCTGCCCCCGCCGACATTATGTCACGGTGCATCATAGATCCTGCCAAAAGGCAAGGAAATGGCTGCAAGGTGCTAGCTGTGTTCAGTGACCTGCATAAATACCAAAATAAGGGTCTGCCACAAAGGGTCAGGCCAAAAAGGCATGCAGTGACATGCAGCCTGCAAAAAGGGGCTCAAAGGGCCCTTAGCCTTATATCACACAAAGATGGGTTGATGGCTTGTAAAGCCGCATGAAATAGATGAATGAAACTGGGGATACCCAGCTTCCTCATAGATACTTATATACACGTAGGGCAGGGCCCCTGGCACTGTGCTACTGTGAGACCTCGGATACCTACATGTGAACATATAGCCAAAATCGGTAATGGTTTTGTATTCGTTATGGCAACTATCTACAAAGGCCGTGGATACGCCGAGGTAATCCTATCTAATCCAATGAGACAATTGCATGTAAGTGGGCCCACTGTTGAGGGGCCAATGGGTGATGGCCAACAGGGCACATCACAACAGTTGCAACATCGGATGAGAGGATCTGTCCAAACTCAAAACAATGAGTGAGACGATTAGTCTTCATCTGGATAAGGCTGTGAGAAGATCCAGCCTATCCTGTACCTGGCTATACTATATGCCAGTTGGTAGGGGGATCCTTTGTGATGCCTGCCTATTGGCTAGGCAGCAAAGTGGTTCCAAATAACCTAAGTCATTTGGATTTTTACTGACTCTTACATGGTGGATGCTTATATAATCAGTAACCCCGTTGGACAGGAGGGGCTTACATCATTGCCTGATGCGCTCTCCTGTGAGTCGTGCATGCCATGCCTCTGTTCCTGCCTCTGTTGTATCGATAGTACTGTTGTGATCACTGCTTTTCCAGTTGCAGTCTGCAGGTCCTTCGGAGCATTCCAGCTGTGCAAATTGTCAGATTGCATGCTCATTCACTTGCAACCTCATTGTGCACGCTGTCACCATTCTCTATGTACCAATTGTATCATCCACAGTTTGCAGTCTTCTGCTAAGCCGTTTGGCCCACCAGCAGTTTACTGTATATGAAGAGCCGACGTCTCACATGCATGTATGCTGCTTTCGATCGTGGTTGTCATCCGTTTGGTGGTAGCGCCGTTCAGCGTCGCAATGTACAGTGACCCACAAAACTGTTGATAAGATTGCTCACTTCGACTTGTATAGTAAATATCTCCTCAACCAATGGGTCAACTACATTGTATAAGGGCTCATTGGAAAGCGTATTATCATGGCTTTCTAATGCAGTTTTGGTCATATTTTTATCACATTTTGATCCCAAGGTATTTACTAATCTTTGAGGGTCACTCTTATCAACAGTTTTGTGGCACATATCCAGGTTCTACAAAACTTGTACTTTCAGTACTTGGTATAGCCTCCCTTTGCCTTCACCACTGCATGCACCCTCCTTGGCATACTTTCAATCAGATTCTGACACACTTCCTTCCCAATAGCCTCCCATTCCTTCTCCACCCTTTCCCACAACTCAGTAATTCCCTTTGGTGGCTCCTGATACTCTGCAAGCTTCCCTTTAAGATGACCCCACAAATGCTCTATGGGATTGAGATCTGGGGATTGAGAGGGCCATATCATAGTGTTGAAATCATGGTCTTTGAACCAATCCTTGGCCTTCTTGCTGGTGTGCTTGGGGTCATTGTCTTGCTGAAACACCACATCCTCCACAGTTTTACCCCAATCCTCCAGGCTATTCTGCAGCTCATCCTCCAGAATGCTGACATAAAGGTCTGCATCCATCCTGCCATCAATCTTACAGGCATACCCCACACCATCACAGCCCATACAGCCCCACATCATCAAGGATCCACCTCTAAACTTCTGGGTCCCTTCCACCAACCTATCACTGAGGCTCTCCCCTGGCTTCTTCCACACCCATTTCCTTCCATCTGACCCCATCCTGTTAATCTTTGTCTCATCTGACCATACCACCCTTCTCCAGTCCTCCACAGTCCAATATGGGTGAGCCAAAGCGAAGTCCATCCTCTCCTTTCGATGCCTTGCAGCAAGTAAAGGCCTTCTGCGCTTTACTACAGCCTTCATTCCTGCCTTCTTCAACCCTCTTCGCACTGTCTCTGCATTGACAACCCTCCCAGTAACATCTCCAAGAGCTCTGGCCACAGCAGAAGATGTGGTAGCCTTGCCAGTCCCAATGAGTCGAGTAGCATAGCAAAGATTGGCAGTAGAAAGAAGGGAAGATCATCCTCCTTTGGCCTTAGAAATGGTGAGACAGTGTGTGGAGCATAGTTTACTGATGGTCGAGTAGTGTAGACCAGTCAAAGCTTCAATTTCTTGAAGAGATTTGCCATTCTGAAGCAAAGCGATGACATGGTTGACAGTTTCAGTAGCAACAGCTTTTGGCATGATGTTGGTTGAGTGTGAAGAGTTGTGTATGGCTGTTTGTACATTGTTCATGTTGAAACATGAACATCAATCAATATTCTCACAAAGAACCCTGTCAACACATCAAGAATCACAATTTTCTGAGAACTTGTGTGTGTGCCACAAAACTGTTGATAAGAGTGACCCTCAAAGATTAGTAAATACCTTGGGATCAAAATGTGATAAAAATATGACCAAAACTGCGTTAGAAAGCCATGATAATACGCTTTCCAATGAGCCCTTATACAATGTAGTTGACTCATTGGTTGAGGAGATATTTACTATACAAGTCGAAGTGAGCAATCTTATCAACAGTTTTGTGGGTCACTGTACTTGAAGCTGGTGAGCTTCCTTCTGTTCCAGTCATTTTTGCACTCGATGCTCGTTTTCTGTACTGCGACACTTTCATCGAGGAGCACATTTCATCACATCCACCTAGCCTCGATTGGTGGTGCTGTACCCTTGCTGTTTCCTTTCTCGCTGATCATTTGCCTTACCGTTCACTGGTGCCGTTGTTGCATCTGCATAATCTCAGTCTTTGGTGTTCATGCCGAACACTGGATGCCATTGTGTGCGTGCTTAGGTGTCATGAATGTCGAGACTGTTGTGCACAAACGACGGGTGAATTCACCTGGTCATGTTAAAGTGTACTGTCACACACTTCAAATGCGACGCAAACAGTGATGCAGTCTACAAGGATGGGTGCAAACATTGGCGTGCTCAACTTGAACTACTCACCATCACCAAACTCATCAAGGGACCTGAGCCGATGATAAAAAAAAACCAAGTTGGAATAGAGGACAACGTCTGCATTTGATTCACTCTATGTTCTTCATTCATTGCTTTACCTTCCCACTTCAGAACAATCTGAACAAATATTACATACACACTCTCTATTCCTATTGTATCTCATCCTTTCTCCTCTCTGTATCACGACCAAATATATATTCTGTTTATACTCTATCTTCTGTATATTGCGAACTATTGATCTTTGTATTTTTACTCTATCGCTCTCAAGACATTCAAAACTACTTGTTGGGCTTATCCACCGATCATTCAGATCCGGGCATGCAGACGCAGTGCCACTATTTTGAGTGGCGAATTGGGTGCTTGCTAGCTTGATGGTCCAATGGGTTCCTTTCTGGGCAAGTGGCCTGGTGTCACATGACCAATGCCTGATAACTTCCAAATAGGGCAAGTGGCCAGTGTCACGTGACTGGGTGGCTGAATCATGGGTGCTTGGTGGTCATGTGGTAGACACAGTCGTATCTGCAATATATGTGGTGGTATTGTGCTGTTTGTCTAAGTATCCACTTTGTGAGACCAATATGAAGGTTGGTGTCCGAATAACCACTCAAATGAGGACTTTTAATGGTGCAAAAAGAAAGGTGTCACTTAATACTGTGACACATTAATGCAAGTGATTGTGGACTATGGGTAGATACCATGAGGATCAGTATAATATGAATAGCACACTTGAAAGCAATGGAAACATAAACACTCAATTGCACTGAGTTCAGGTACATAGATTATAGATAGAGAATAAACATTGTGCCACATATTCATATTTTTATTACTGTTATTTTTATTCTTTATGTTTTTGGGGGGGTTGGCTTTGATCATTCATCCTTGTCTGCTTCTTCTTGAACTCCATCCTGGGTGAAGCAATCAATAATTGAAAGTATTCAAGGTGTTTAAAATATCTTTTCTTGACAACTGTAACAGAATTTGGGCAGAACCTGGTCCCTCAGCCACATCTCTCCTGGTTAAAATTCAGCCCTGACATGCAATGGGAGGCATTATGTCAACATGTCATGAATATGATGTATATGATACTTGCACTGCACACACAAAGGCATTTCTTCCCATTGCTTTGTGAATGTGTTCTAATAATGGACTCTTGTAATAATATGCCCTAATCTGGCAACTCTATGCATCAAAAAGGTGATTACTTATAATTTATTGGCATTAAATTAAATAATGTGAATCAGTCTCATGTCTATCTGCAATGTTGATTAGCATCAATACAAGTTATGTCTTTACTGCAGAGCTTCTTTCATGTCCAAAACATAGTAAAGTACCTTGCTCAGAGAGCAACATTTGGTTCACTGGTGCCTGTCACTGAGATGAAAAAAATACTTAACTTAGCATTCTCTTTCCAAATAGGTGATTATATATGTAAGTGGATCTTGTCACGTCTTCACACTGCAGGCATGAAGGCATTTATTCCCGCTGCAAATGCACTGAAAATGTGTTCTAAAGTGTGACCTATGCAACACTATGCCCTAATTAAGCAACTTTATTTCCCAAACAGGCAGTCAATTACCATTTCGTGTCATTAAGTAACGGTCGCAAATGCTTTCATGTCTGCAGTGTCACACACATCGACACTCTCACTCGCCACGACATCCAGCTGCTACACCCTCCAGCATGCACGCTGCACCGACTCCCGGATGATGAAATTGCCTTGGACTTTCCGGGTGAGGACCCTGGGAAATCGGCTGCAGCTGATGCATAGCTGGATTGGCAATCTGTCTCCACCCCAGCTTAATTCCATCCTGCCCTTTTCACTCCATGTAGTATTGTTCTGTCCTGCTGTCCAAAAGTGAGAGTGTGTATGTGCACTCATGTCGACGCTCTCACTGGCCACAATACCTAGCTGCTATGCTCACTGCACTGACTCCCGGATGACGAACTGGCCTTGGCCTCACAGGGTGACAACCCTGGGAAGTCGGCTGCATACTCAGATGGTACAGTCAACGAGGGCAAGTACGCAACTCTTTTTGTGATAGAACCACCAACGTCTAATTCTGTGATTGCGCCGTCGCTCTCGCAGCTCGAACCCAGTGACTTTCACAAGGATTCAGACATGGACGAATACCTGCCTCAGCGGGGAGGATTACTCCGACCCGGGGGGAACAGTTCGGTGAGAAAGAAATCGATGAAGCCATCCGCAATACATTTGCCACAGCACTGGCCGGTATCAGCCTCGCCGTGGAGCAGGCAGTCAACGACCTCGGTGACGACGAAGGCCTCAGGGCAACTCCCGCGACTACACGCTGGGCGACCACTGTCGAGCATATCCTCAATGCCATCCAGCAGATCACTGCCTCTGTGAAGGACTGCCCCTATGTGGGTAATGCCAACCTAGTCCACCGCGTGCGTGAACGCATCACGTCCACTCATCGTGACGTTGGGGCCAACTGGCTCCTCGAGTATGCCGACCCACCCTCTTTCGCCCCACAGCCCATATCCTCCGGCGCTGCTGCGATCACTGCTGCAGTCACTGCTGCTATGGAGCCTTTCGTCCAGCGCGTCGACCGACGCCTAGCCTCTCTTGAGGAGAAGGCAAAGGAGTCCCGTTCCAATCCTAACACATACTCGAGGAGAAGGCAAAGGAGTTCCGTTCCAATCCTAACACCTGCCCGCGTAGCACCCCTGCTCAAGCAACTTCCTGAGCCCAGGCTCCTCCGCCTACTGCATCATATGCCACGGCTGCATCAGGAAAACTCAACTCGGCTTGTGGCTCGAGAACCTCCTTTTTGACTTGTTCTCGCTGGTTTTGGCCTGTACAAGCCAATAAGCGCGCGATAAGGAGCTCTCAAGCCAGAGAAAAGTTCAATATAAGGAGGTCCTGAGGCTTTCTAGGACTTATTGTCTTTTTTTGGTGACAGCAAGCGGATAGAAGCATCATAAGCCGGATTTGAGTTTTCCTGATGTGCCGCCACTGCTAGGGCTGCCCCTGGGTCTGCCATCCCAACGAAGCCGTCTGCACGCGGACCTGTTGCCCCTGCTCGCTGGATCGCCCGCTTTGTGGACAAACCCCCTGCTAAACTTACAGCAACGGACCCCCTCGTGCTCGTGCGCCAGCTTTGCTCTCGCCTTGCTGCTGTCCCTACTTCCGCCACTGTACACGTCCTTGCCATCGAGCGTACCCTCACCGGCAATCTGGTCATTACATTCACGGCTACCACCCCGCGGGTGGACATCGCGAGCCACCTTCCTACCATCCAATCTGCTCTGGGAGTTCCGGAGCACAACATTGTTTCTGCTGATGTCGCTTGGTCCAAGATGACCCTCGGGTTTGTTCCGACGTGCCCATCCCCGACAGAACCCCTCTTTGATGAGGCCACCCTTCTCGCCTCTCTTCGTCTGAACCCCTCCTTCACGAAGCTCCCGCTCGCATATGGGCCACGCTGGCTCCGGCGCCCTGATGATATGGCAGACCAGGCACATAGCACTGTGTCTCTCGGTTTCGAGGATCCCGACGGCTCCGTCATGAAGGGAATCCTTAAGGCAGACCTGTTCCTAATGGGAGGCCGTGTCCGTGCCCGTCGCTAGGATGACAAGTCTTGCCTCCTGCAGTGCACGCTGGCGGTTTGGCCACACTGCGCGTGACTCCAAGTGTAAGAATGCATGCTCGCAATGCGGCGGGCGTCACTGTGTCCTCACCCCCAAACAGCGAGTCGAGATGCAGACTCAGGCAAGGAAAGGCATGTTGCGCTTCACATTGACTAGAAATCACTTGTATGTAAATTATCCGCAGGCGAATTCAACTTTTATCTCACCGACACCTGCCTGACAGACATATAAAATCCACCGTCATTCGCTGTATGAACCTCCACTCACTCGATACAAAGCGACCCTTCTCGGGCCGCCACACATACATATCTAACCAAAAATTGATATATTAGAGACGAAACAAATGTCATCCCCCGCTCAACTTGCGCGTTCCTCCGAGCAAGGATCCGCCGCGCACGCGCGGCACTTCTCGAGTACATAGAACCATCCTGCGGCATGGAAGTGGACTATCACTGTATAGCCGTCATGGCATTCTCCAAACTTCTCATGTGCTACGATGTATATAGTTCATCTTATTGTTTCAGTACATTGACATGTTGCTCTTTCGTCTTCGTCTAACGCAGTCAGATCTTTTTTCGCACAGAGATGGGCAAACCCAGCTCATTCAGACTCAGAAGACAGTCCCATCGCTCTCGATGTCGATGGGTGGCCCACCCGTCGCCGGACGCTTCTGCTTCGCGATCTCCCGTCCGCCCTTCCATGTCGCGCTCTCGAGCACCTGCGCCAGCGTCAACTGCGCCGCGGTCAAGCCGAGATTCTTGCGGATGGCATCGGCTATGCGGTCGCTGTGAACAAAAGTGACGCGTCAGCATTTGCTGCGCTATGTAGAAAGGACGTGTTGCTTACAGCTCGATGACAGTCATGGCACGCCATTCGACGATGGCAGGGTGCGAAGGAGGCAACCTGGGGATCCCGGAGCTGGGGTTGGGATAGAAAGAGGTGGGGATGGCATCCGGCTTCAGCTGCAGGACGCCGAAGTCGACCAACAGCCCTCCTGCACGAAACCAACAATTGAGCGTCTAGCCATACAACATAGGACTACGACCGACCGTTTCGGTACTCCGGTAGCCCTGTCATGAACTCCATGCCCTCGACTTTCCATCCGAGGACCTTCTGGATTGGCTCGACGAGGCTGTAAGTGATCCAGCCGGTGAGCTTGTGGAATGGCACAAGATCGTCGCCCTCGTTCACGGCGCTGGCTTTGAGCGCGTGGCATGGCCAGACGTCGCCCAAGGGAACGCCGCCGAGTGTGGTGCGCGTTGCGGGCCAGATGGGCGCGAGACCCTCGATGAGCGCAGTCCAGAGGGAGAAGATGTGCACGCGGCGTCCGCCGGAGGGCGAGGGCAGGGACTCGGATTGGAGGAAGCCTGCGAGGACGCAACGAAGGAAGTTAGGATTGTATAGATGAGGGTGTGGTACTGGAAGGGCTCACCGACGAGGTTGCCGGGCCTGGCGTCGGGCCCGAAGTAGGTCGGGTTGGCCTTGAGGGCATTGCTCAAGTTGACGAGCAGAGACGTGCGGCCCTCGATGCCCACCATCGGGTTAGACCCGCTGACTTGCATCGCTACTGCAGTCCTCTCAGGCGTGATACGTGCTAGACCCACCGCTGTGAGGCGCATACACATAGGACGCCAAATGAATATTAGAGGCGTGCAGAGTTGGCGATTAAACAGCCTCACCATCCACTCTGTGAGGGTTGCTGCTATCGCCCGAGAAGAACCCCTCCTCGAACATCTTGATGCTGGCGACGCCGAGGCCCTCAGAGCGCATGAAATTCATGTCGGACTCCTTCTCGTGGTACGTCCAGGTGTTTCCTGCACCCGCATCGAGCAGCACGGAGACAAGGAAGAGATCGAGCAGCCGCCTGGTGATCTCCTTCTCGTCGGGCGGGCTGGGCACCGCCTTCCACTGCGCGATGAGGGGCTCGACACGGGGGCGACCTGCATCGAGGTGGCGCCATCGTCCATGAGGAGGTATCTGAAAGGGGACATATGATGTTGTGATCGTGCTACGCAAATGCTTGATGTGATGCGAGGCGCGTACTCACGCTAGCGAAGTTGGTCCCATAGTCGCGCTACATGATGCATCATGATTCAGCATACGCCCCATCACTGGCAGTGCGTGAGATTGATCGTTAGTCACTCGAGCGTACTTTCATGATCTCGATGCAGAACGCAGCCACGTCTGCCTCCTTCTCTTGGTGGTACGTGAAGTACTCCAGCTTGCCTTGCTGAGCGAGTGCATGCACGCGGCTGCATCGCTCACGGATCGCAGGGAGCGTGCGGAGGTATGCAGCGGTCTGTTCAGCATTCAGAGGCTGTCCAAAGTTCATCGTGATGGGTGGGCACAGCTCGAGTCAGTGCGAGATGAACAGCTGCTATCCATCGCTGGTCGAAGCAGATATGATAGCCGCACGTTGATCGTGATCGTCCGCCACATACAGCTCAGCGCGTGAGATAACACAACCGTGCCTTAATACAGCGCCAAGCCACAGATAATAGTGCTCATACAAAGGATTGTATCTGATTGTATTCTGTGTTACAACGGAAACCAAGCAACGAAGAACGAAGATAACGCCGGTTAGCACACAAACAGCCACGCCTACTGGGAACCTCTCCTTTCCCAGAAAACATGTTTCCAGCAGTCGCCCTCCACTTTGACTGGATGAAGGTACCTTCCGCCTGCGTTTCGACGTTCTTTCCTCTCCAATGTCCAGAGCTCATTGATGCCGATACGTTGAGCATATCCAGCCATCCGGTCATAGTCGAGGCCGACGGCATGCGGGCCGTGACTGTCGTCGGATAACGCGAACCGCCCACTGTGTTTCATGATCAGCTGTAACACTCGGCAGTGAGTTCAAGGCGGCTGTCACAGATATGAGTAGACAAACCTGTGCAACATCTTCTCCCGGATACGATGTATCCCACTTCTTACGCAGTGCAGCGGCGTTTAATTCGAACAGCGCATCGTACTCTATCGCATAGCGGATATTCCTCTCCAGCTTCTCCCAAGCGCGCGGATAATCAGCGAGCCTAAGCGAGGGGTTGTACAGCCGGCATAAGTCAATATGGCCGATAACTTCAGGGTGTAGCCGCTGGAGGACTTCGTACTGTGCATCAAAGTACGAGCACAGATACGCCTCCATCTGCTTGTGGGCTGCGCTGGCACTGGCGCTGGACGATGTTCCTCCCCCAAAGCTGGCAAGACACTTCTGGAACGTTGGCTCGTCGAAATCGATCGGGATGCCATTGGCATGATGGATTGAGCCAACAAGGTATTCGATCCGCCCCTCGTGTCTCTTCAGGGTAACCTCCAGGTTCGTGATATCGACCTCTGTTATGAACTCGGTCTCGAGGCCCACAAACAGATTGATCCGTCCAGCATAAGTCTCCTTCAGGCGATGCGCCTCATCCAAGAATTGATCAAATTGGGTTCGCAGCACATCTAACGCCAGTCCTTCCTTCGCAACATGATTAGACATCGTGCGAGCAGAGACGCCAGGATACAGCTGCGGCACGCAGAGACATTTACCTCTTCCGGATATAGATCTTCCACACGATATCGGGGTGCGTGTTCGGTCAGACCATACACGTCGAAACCCTGTTTGATGGCTTCCAGGACGACCTCCCCAAGTGTGCCGGATGCATGCTTGCAGAATTGACCAGAGTGTGAATGATGGCTGTGGGGCATGGAAGCGGCGGCTGGTAACCGCTACGTAAGCGGAGCGCCAGGAATGTGAGCGTAAGCAATGTGTGCAGTGCACACGAGTTTCGTCCGAGTACCCCGCAAACGCAGCCCGAATGGCTAGAGGGGAGGCTGTGCAACGAGCACACAGCACAGCGAGACGGCGAGGGCTGCGGGCAGTGCAGAGTCGGCGGTGCAGGACGTCGCCTTGTTCGGCGTCGCACGTGGCCACGCCGCAGGCGAGCGTGAGAGCGCCCGAGCCCTTTCTCATATAACGCCGGCGTCCCCGTTTCCAACCCTCCCTCTCCTGCTCCTGTGTCGGCTCATTGTTTACGTCTTCATCACTGACCACGATGTCGAACCGAGATTACTACCAAGGTGGCCAGCAGCAGTATTACCCCCCGCAGGGTGAGCTTTCGACGGCGTTCCCGAGGTTTTGCAACATCTGACGACGGCGATCCTAGGTGGCCCTCCCCAGGGTGGTTACTACCCACAGCAGCCTCCGCAAGCGTACGGAGGTCAGCCCTACGGTGGCCAGGGCTATCAGCCTCAGCCACCACCTCAGACGGTCTATGTGTAAGTTGTTATCGCAGTGGGCCCTGCTCTTGTGACGCTCTGCTCACGTTCGTGGCGATACAGACAACAGCCCGGGCAGCAGCAAAAGGGAGGAGGAGGTGGTGACTGTATGGCATGTCTAGCGGGAGCATGTTTGTGTTGTTGTGCAGAAGGTGCGTCCTCGTGCTGTTATATGCGTGCCCTCGCTTCATATCTGATCTCACATCCACGCTGCAGAGATGTGCTGCGACTGTCTCTTCTGATGACTTCCACGGCCTTCCACACACATGTTCTCTATTGCATACCATTGATTGGTCGTCCTGCCCTCATACCCTTATGCTTCCATATATCGCTCTGGGCCGTATTGTGTACACCAGGACTTTTCTCTCCCTCTCGATCTTCGTATATGTATGTGTGAACTTACAGCACCTATAATATACGCTCTATGGCAGGCATACTGGATGAATCGCGTGCCACGTTTTCGAGTAGTCTCCCGTGGGCAGACTTGACCATTCCTTCGAACCTCCGTAGACTCCTGATATCCTTGTCTGACGTCTGGTTTCAATAGGTCCTTATCGAAGCGAACCCTACGGCCTAAGGCCTAAGGGCCGCCTTGTGAGGTATGTAGGCAACACTCTCCTTCACGGGTAAGCATAGCTACGCAGAAATTTGAACCCCGCTCCAACGTGACGTGTGGGGACGCGTTGACGCGTCGGCGTCCCCTCGAGATGCAATCAAGTAACGCAACAATTGAATGAACCCTTCGCACATCTCGGTTCTGCACTAAGTTAGCTTGGGTTCTTTTCCCGTGACTATGTCTCTAGCTACACCATTTGAACAATTAAATAGGCTCAGAGCACTGTTAAGTGTCCCTTTCATGTTCATGGCTCTAATAGGGCCTATATATTTTCATTGTTGATATGAACACTTGCTGGGTATCCTTGTCGAGCCATCACAGATCATTGATGATCAGTTGATGGCGTTGAAAAAGTGCCAGTGAAGCTGGTTTTGAAGCCCCGGCTTGCTACAAAGGAAAGATTACATTAGATTACAAAGTCCGAAAGCCTGGCTCGCTCTCCGCTCGTCGACACAGGACCCGGCGTCAAAATTGGGGCAAAAAAAGCATCACTAAATCGACGTGCGCTGACTGGTCGGAGTGAGTCGGCGACGGTAGCGTGTTCGCCCGCGTGTGACGTGACTGTCACTCATACCGTCACCTCCTCGCTGAGGGCCATCCCAGTTTCAAAATCCCGTCATTGACCGTCCTCCGTCAAAATGCTATCCAGGCTGCCTGCGGGTGCGCTGAAGAGCGTCGGGCCCTTCGCAAGATCCCATGCAACGGCCTTCTCCTCCGGTGCTCGCTTTTCCGCGGTGAGTACATGATAGACCCCCCACTGCCCTTCGGGATGAACGCGGGACTGAACGTCACGTCTCATAGCGCGTCCGTTTTGCTTCTACGAGTTCAAATGCCTCCTCTGCATTTGAGGTATGTACGGAACATTTAGAACGGAAGCATACAGAAGTGTAACGCGTTTCTCAGTCCTTCATGAACTCGCGCGCGACATTGGCCTCTGCGACGCTCCTTACCGTCGGTTCCATCGCGTGGTACACCAGCCTGTACGGCCACCTGCCCTTTATTGGCGAAGTGCACGCCAGCTCCCTCGCTGATGAGGGCCTTCACCCGCCCCACTATCCCTGGTCTCATAACGGCTTCCTGGATAGTTTCGACCATGCGAGGTTAGCGCTGTCTCCGCATTCAGCCGACACCGGGCGGGCGCACTCACCAGTCATCTACTCGCAGCATACGTCGCGGATACCAGGTGTACCGAGAAGTCTGCGCAGCGTGCCACTCGCTGGACCGTATCGCCTGGCGTAACCTTGTTGGCGTCTCCCATAATGTGGATGAGGTGAAGGCCATGGCTGAGGAGGTTGAGTATGAAGATGGCCCAGATGACCAGGGAGAGATGTTCAAAAGGCCCGGAAAGCTGTCTGACTATCTTGCTCCCCCTTACCCGAACGAGGAGGCTGCTCGTGCTTCAAACGGCGGTGCTTTGCCACCGGACTTGAGCTTGATAGTCAAGGCGCGCCATGGCGGTTGCGTAAGGCTTAGTTTCTCTTCGTTCTCAAGTGAGGTTGCTGATCGGTCTTGCAGGACTACATCTTTTCCCTGCTTACCGGCTACAGGGACCCTCCGGCCGGCTTCGAGATTCGAGACGGCATGAATTACAATCCGTACTTCCCTGGCAATGCCATCTCTATGGCGCGTAACCTGTTTGACGGTGTGGTCGAGTACGACGACGGTGAGACGGACGACCGATTTTGCATCGACGTCACTGACCCGGGATGCGTCATGCGATGCTAGGCACTCCTGCTACGACTTCTCAGATGGCAAAAGATGTGGTTACGTTCCTGAACTGGGCCGCGGAGCCGGAGCACGATGAGCGGAAGCAGATTGGTCTCAAGGCCATTATTATCTTCTCAGCACTCACCGCTATCAGCTTGTACGTCAAGCGCTTCAAGTGGTCTGTGATCAAGAGCAGGAAACTTTGTAGGTCTTGCATGCTCCTTTGGCGCGTATGAGAACTCACCTAAGATGTTCCCACCAGTCTACAATCCGCCTGCGGACAAGTCGGCGCACTAGAGTAGAGCGGGCGTGCATGACTCAATCGGGAATTTTGACTCCATGAATAGTATTCTCAATAACTGAGAGTTGTAGCTTGGCCTGTACTGAGGGTGCGAGTGTTATTCTGAAAGCGAGGGAACCAGCGGACGTGTATTTATCGACTCGGGCCTTTGCGACCTGACAAACCAGAATTCAGTTGGGCGCACTGTTGGCATTCATGTGAGCACCTCGGCGGCCGTGAGAATCACACGTTACTCTCAGCCACCGCCATATTATACCGACTCCGCTCCCTACGGTCAAGTCCTCACTCTGTGCCTGCACGTTCTCTTCCTGCACGTTCAGACTGCGGCCTGATCTTCCCGGACACTCGTACTCAGGTCACTTCAACACTCAATACTCCCTCAACTCCTACCAGAATGTCATCGGAAACATGGCCTCAACCGCTCAAGTGCGACCCCCCACTCGCATCTCTGCTTGGTCTGCCTTGTCTCACGCTCGCCTGCAGGGACTGGGTTGCAAAATGTCTCGGACAGATGACCGACACGAACCGCGCAGAGGCATCGGCGGAACTAAAACAGGTAATAGCTGATGCTTTTAGCCACAAGACCTTGTGGACTACGGACTGGGCGGGCGTACAACTGCAAAGGTGTGCATATCCTTGCTCGCTTTCGATGTGTGAATAATGGCTACAAACCCATCGAGCTTGCTGCCAAAACCTCCGCCGACGTTCACTACGAATTTCAACCTCAAGCGAAAGTCAGTGGGCATGCCTACAGTCTTCCATCGGCAGTTCTGATGGCATGGCACAAAGGAATGACGGCTCTCCCTTGTCGAGCGGCAAGAAGTTCAAGAAGACGTCCATATTGAAGAATGCAGCTCCAAGTTCTCTCGACCCAAATGACGTTACCGCTCTCAACCGCAGAGCTGCACGATTCCAGCGAGAACATGAGATAGAACGTCGGAAGGGCTTGAGTGCCCACTCAGGTCTTGCACCCTCTTCCTACTCTAGTGTCTTCACGTCACGCGTCAGTACTCCTATGTATAATGCCGATGATCCAGAAGCGAATCCGGTGCGTGCTTCCGATGCTGTTGCTCGCTCATGTTTTGAAGATAGAGGATGTGCGCAGAGCGTGCCGAACTGGGACAAACACACAATCGTCGGAACGTCACAAGAGATCTTCAAGGACTACCTGCGCTTGACTTCAGCGAGTTTCACTTGATCTGCGTTCTGTCCTGCACATTGATTTGTCCTTGTCCAGGAACCCAAACCAGAGCAAATTCGCCCATACCACATCCTGCAAGAAACGCTCAACCAGCTGAAGAGGCGGTGGCGAGAAAAAGCCAATTACAGCTGGATTTGCAGCCAATTCAAGAGTCTGCGGCAGGACCTGACCGTGCGTCGCCCTTTTCAAGCGCGCCAGAACGCCTGACTTCGGTGCTCTAAATGTGCGTCATGTAGGTGCAACGCATCAAGAACGAGTTCACCGTTACGGTGTATGAAATACATGCTCGTATGGCATTGGAAGTAGTACGTGTTATGAGTGCGGTGTGCTGCCGTGCATTTCATGCGTCATTGCAGGGCGATATGGTTGAGTATAACCAATGCCAAGCTATGTTACGGAATCTCTACGAACTCGGCATTCCAGGAAAAGTTGAAGAATTTACTGCATATCGAATTCTCATGCTACTCCACGGGCGGAATAAGAGCGGTATGTCCTTAGGCGCGTTGTCATGTATACTCTAAATACTCATCATCATCACCTTGCAGAACTAAATCTATACGTAGGTCAGCTAACGGACAGGCAGAAATCCGACACGGCAGTGCGCCACGCACTTGATGTGTCACGGGCTCTAGCGATGGGCAATTATCATTCGCTGTTTGACTTGTACCTGAACGCGCCGAACATGGGCGCATACATCATGGACCACTTCATTGATCGGGAACGGATGCGTGCGCTGATGGTTATGACCAAAGCGTTAGTCTCTCGGGCTTCTACTATATCAGTACGGTGTTGACATTTGCATCGCAGATACCTGACGTTACCGCTTCCCTTCATCCAGAATGAACTGGCGTTCGAGACGCTCGCGCAGGCCAGGGATTTTTTGATAGAGCACGGAGCAGGCTTCTTCCAGAACCCAAACGAGCCAGACACACAGAAGGTACTCAATTGCAAACCGGCACAAGCTCCGCTAGCACAAGTCTTCGAGGAGAAATATCGCAGGGTTCAAATCAAAGGCGCTGTATAGTGAACATGTGCGCCTGCCGACGATCCTTCATCCATTTGCTGTCGTCATTGCATCGCTCGTCGCTTTGCCCATTCTCCCATGTCACCACATATCTTATGCTCATATCATCGCAGTCGACAATCCGTTACACACTATTTCCCGCGGATTCCTCAAGCGCAAGTCTGTCCGAAGAACAGGTACCACAACATGTACGCATTTACTCGGTCTGCATTCGCTATCGCACAACAGAATCCCTGTCTATTCCTCCCTTCTTCCTTCTCTCCGTCCCTCCGGATCTTCTCCCCCGTCCCGTCTTCGATATAATGCACACGTGGGAGTTTGGTAGGCATTTTCCAATCCTTCTTGGAGGAGGGGCTGTGCGGCGGTGCACGCTGGGTAGTACTCACTAGCAAGTTTTGCGTCTTGGAACTGTAACTAGCGGAATATATTCTTGCATAATGCTGTATCAGGTGCGAGTCTCAATCTCGCATGCGTGCTGGAATAAACCGTCGCAGCACCACGTCTCTGACAGAGTATTGTTCGAGGCATGTTGGCGAGGAGAGGAGCTCGGGTGAGATCCGCGAGCGTGCGGGGATTGTTACGTAGGTTAGGATGAGGGTCTGTCATGGTCAAGTCAGTCAACAAGCATTAAGATGGGATCGGGTGTAGAGACCTTCTGCACTTGGGAATTGACGCGGTTGATGGTGCTGAGCCAGGTCCAGGAGAAGGGAGCCGAGTTGGCAAGATCGAATGGGGACGATTCCTGATCTGCAGGGTCTTCGTACACGGGAAGCACAATGACTGCGAACCTGTCCGAATCCGCATTTCAGTACAATCATTGTGCGAGCGTTCGGTGCAGCGTGCGTACTCGGCATGATGGAATACAGGTCCGCGTTTGTACAGCAGAAAGTCGACGCAGAACTTGATGCCACCCTTGATCACCCAGCCGAGTGAGCGGTAATAGTGGTATGCGGCGTAGTGCACGAGGAATGGGTTGTCGAACCTCCTGGCATAGACGTCTGGGGGCACCTGCCGGATGTGATGCGCACTCTGGAAGACCTGCCAAATCTGCTCGAGGATCATGGGCTCGGACTGTACTCGGGGAATGTCAACACTGTGTATGTGAGGTGGAAGGATGAGGAGTAGCTACCGTTGTAGGGTCGAGTATGGTGAGGCAGTCGAGTGTCCATGCGAGGAAGAAGGCTTCTTGAAGCGTAAGCTGGAGGTGCTCGAGGTCAGAGATAGGCTCTTCCTCTGCCTCGTCGACTGGTTCTTGTTCTGGTATTGGAGAGGGTGATGGGCTCGGAGCTTCTCCTGTAACAGACTGCTGTGGTTTCCACGTCGCGCCGGAGGGAATGACGGTGGTGATATTGGCTTCGCGGCCTTCAGCGAACGCGGCTTCTGCCTCTGCAGATGCCTGTGCCATGGCGGCAGCGCGATCGAGCTTGAACTGTTGGCGCTCCGCTCTGCGTTTTTCTCTGATCTCTTCAGCGGTCATATCTGCATGAGACTCTATCTTTACATTCCACGTATAACGTTATTATGCGAGAAGCACGTACATTTGCCAGCAGCAGCCTTCCTCGCGCCGATCTGCCTCTTCTGCCAGGACGGCTCGCTCCTTGACAAGTCGCCCTTTCCAAAGAATCCCCTCCGCCAGAGAATGATCGCGTCCCCCGGGTCGGTCACCCACACGGAGCGCGTGTCGGGATCGTAGACACCCGTGCAGTGCGGATTGAGCACGCGTGCGCTGGAGATACCGAAGAAGTCCAGGATGCGTGTGATGTACGAGGACGGCGCGGGCTCGACTATGACTGGGAGAGGGTGCGCGTAGATTTTGTTGTTCTCGCTGCGCCGTGCGCCGCCTTTGGTGGGCCCACCGCGGCGGCTGGGGGCGCTGAGCGACATGGGAGCAGCGAGGACCGGTGGGAGTTAGAATGGGTAGTGAGTACTTTAACTTTGAGATCAAAGTGATCGGCATCGCACGCGGCCAAACAGCGCGTCCATAGCGCGTCGTCTGCTCTGCGTGTCTCTGTCACCAGTACTCCTGCTTTATCTCTCAAGTGCTCGTGCAATCTACTCTGCTACTGTCGGGACCCGTCGAAGATGTCTGAGAAACGGCGGGCAGAAATCGAAGCAAAGCGGGCGAAGCTCGCAGAGCTGCGCAAGGCCCGCGCAGAACGACAGAAAGCAGAGGCCGAGCGGCGTGCAACAGAGGCGAGTGTCCACTCTGCCATCTCACCCCTCTGCTCACATTCTCGTTTATCTGCATACAGAGCGCAGGCCCTTCCGTCGTACGGCGCGATGTCGACGACCTCGTCACCTCGCTCATCGGCACCAACATCGGGCGTGGCGACACGAGCCTTGAGTCGCCCATCTCTTCCATACCAGGTACGCCCTTGGGCGACCGCCCGCGCTCGTCGATCCCCATCCCGTCTTCTGCGTCCGGAACGGGCTTCTCGCCGTCGGGCCGCGCGAGCAGGCAGAGCGATGTCGGCTCGGACAGACTGAACATGGGTACGACGTTCGTGCAGTCGGCGAACGGCGGGACGGACCATGTCGTTGACCGGTGTGTGTAGTGTCCTTCGATAATTGTGTGCGTGCATTGAGGTGGGGTGGATGTATAGAGTGATGACGCCAAGAATCGTGCCCGACATGATCGACGTCGAGCAGGAGCTGTTCGATTTTCCGCAGAAGGTCTGCGAGTCTGTGCTTTCGTTTGTTGTGTATCTTCATCTAATGTGTTGGTACACAGGAGCGCGTCATTTACAACAAGGAAGTGCAGACGATGGAGATCGAGTCAGAGTCGTCGGACGAGTCTGATAACGAGCATGAACGCGCACAGAGAGAGCGCGAGGCCTCAGAAGCAGAGCACGCTGCGCGGGAAAAGGATCTGGAGCAGGAGAGCGTGCAGCTCGACAAGGAGATCGAGCAGGAGATCCAAGGCATGTCCCCGCCATCTGTATTCGACGCTGTCATTGCTCATTGCGAACAGAGATGACGGAGGAGGAGAAGACGAGCATCTTTTCGGCGCCGGAGTTCTTAGACTTTGTCGAGCAGTCGACGAAGATCATTCAGCGGGCACTCAACGATCACTATGACTACGTTCGGGACTACACTACTGGTGCGGAAAATGAAGGGTAAGCCAATAAATAGTCGTATTACTGTGTGTTGCTCAACCGTGCCGTCATTGTAGCGACGACCTAGAGGGCAGGCGGGTCAAGTGCGTATGTGCATTCTACGACGAGCAATATGGCAAGAATCGATCGATCACCGACGTCGGGTGGTCGCCCAAAGTAAGTACATGCTGTTTAAAGTATAGCAGGCCATTGACTCAGTTCACAGTACCCAGAACTCAGCTGCGCATCCTACAACAAGAATCCCGCCGCGCTGAACGAGCCCGACGGGATCGTCGCCGTGTGGAACCTGCACCTGCTCGAACGACCAGAGTTTATCTTCCATTCCCAGGTACGCTAGTGCCACTGCTCGACAACCGCCCACGCTGATGGACGCAGTCGGACGTGCTCTCAGTGACGTTCTCGCCGTTCCATTCGAATTTAATTTTTGGCGGGACGTACTCGGGACAGATCCTACTCTGGGACACGCGCTCGAAGCATCTGCCGGTGTTGAAGACTCCACTGAGCGCAGCGGGACACACGCACCCCGTTTATGCGATCCAGATGGTGGGCACGCAGAATGCGCATAATTTGATTACGAGCAGTACAGATGGGATGGTTTGTAGTTGGTTGGTGGACATGCTGGCGCAGCCGCAGGTGCGCATTCTGAAAGGAATGCTCAAAATTATGCACATTCAACTTCTGTAACAGGAAACACTGGAACTGGTGCATGCTGGCCACAGTAAAACGGGTGAGGTGGCGATCACGACACTCGACTTCCCGGACAATGAGACGACAACCTTCTGGGTCGGGACGGAAGAGGGCAACGTGTACCAAGCGAACCGATACGACCGCGCGGGGGCAAAGGCAGGCCTGAACCCATACGATATCTACCGGGGACACGCGGGGCCCGTGATGGGCCTGCACTTCCACCCGCAGCACGGGCCCGTGGATTTCTCTGACCTGTTCCTGACGTGCTCGGTGGACTGGACGGTGAAGCTGTGGCGCGCAAAGTCGCTCGCAAAGCCATCGAGCACGGTGAGCGCGGTGGCGCCGCTGCACTCGTTTGACGAGGCGGACGACTATGTATACGACGTCAAGTGGCACCCCTCGCATCCCGCGCTGTTTGGCGCAGTGGATGGGTCGGGGCGCTTCGATGTATGGAACCTGAACGTGGACACGGAGGTGCGTGACGCGTGCTAGCTAGTGCGAGCGATAGACTGACAGCGCGTAGGTATCGGTGGTGTCGACGGTGGTGGGGTCTGGGCGGGCGCTGAACAAGCTGCAGTGGGACCGGAAGGACGGGCGGCGGGCGGCAGTTGGGGGGAGCGACGGGAAGTTGTACGTATACGACATCGGGGACATGGCGCTGCCGCGGGAGTCGGAGTGGACGGACTTGCAGCGGACGGTTGCTGGGATCGCCGGGGGAGGAACGCAGAATGGGGCGCTCGCGGACGCTGGCGCTGGGCGGTGACTGTGGTACTCCTCTAGGATGGATTCGTATTGTCGCTGTAGGAATTCGGAATATACCCTAGTATATGATACTGCGTAAAGCGGCGCACGGGGCTCCGAGGAAAAAGAGGAACCGGGCGTCCGGGGGCGGGCGTGCATGCAGCGTGCTCAGATAAATTCGCGGACTGTGCACGGCGCGTGTGCTCTGCATTTCGTGCGGAAATAAGGACCGGTATAATACGCCGTGCTTTGGCGGATCAAATGCTCTTCCGTCCGCCCTCCCTCGCCTCCCGCTCCTCCTTTGCCTTCCTCCGCCGCCGTCTCCTCGCGTCCCCAGCAGCCCTGCCTTCCCTTTCTCCGCGACGCACCATGACGGGCTTCAAGCAGGTATTCTCCGCGATCATACATCTAGGTACCGCAACTCACGTCTGAGCCGCTCCGTGTAGGAACCACATAAGTGCGCTACGGCAGCCCGTCTACATATAATGTTATATTGACCTCTGACATCTCCGATAGACTTTTGGTGTAAGCAAATACTACGATGCGCTCGAACGATGGTTCGACCCTCACCCTCACCCCTCCAGCATCCCCGGGCCCATCGAGGTCACAGATGAGGTGCGCACGACGCGCTTTTCCATTGCGACTCTCATCATCCATACTCTTTCTCGCAGGTTCTCTACGCAAATGCACATCCGTCCATGTCCCATATGTCTGCGGACTTTGTCCCCGTCCTCGGGGACTGCATTCGCATGACGAGGGAGGTACTTTTCAGCACCACCGCGCAGCCCTTCATCATCGCCGGCTCGGGCACCCTTGGCTGGGATGAGGTGCTTGCCACTCTGCGCTGGCCTTCCAACTTCAGAGCTGACCGCGTCCTCGCTTGCAGGTCGCGGCAAATCTGACGGAGCCGGGCGACAGCGTCCTCGTGCTCAACAGCGGCTATTTTGGGGACAGCTTTGCAGACTGGTCAGCGCGTCCTCAGTCTGCTTAATCTCACATCCCCTCATCCAGACCTGTAGCTTACGAACATATGGCGCGGAGGTGGACGAGGTCCATGCGGCGTTCGGCGCCGCTGCTAGACTCTCCGAAGTCGAGAAGGCACTCTCATCCAAGAAGTACAAGATCGTCGCGTTTACGCATGTCGATACGTCAACAGGTGCGTTCAGACAATGCCTCTGTCGGTTTCAGACCGCATGTCCGCCACTATGGCATCCGAGCGCAGATCGAGACGTCGATGCACGGATTGCGTGCTCCATACGTTGTCTGGTGACTGCTCGATAGGTGACGCTGCGGCGGCCGCACTCCGTGCGTGTTACAGCCCCCTCGAATTTGAGAGTGTGCTTGGGCTCGTGAAGAGCAAGATGGTATACGGCCATTCTGATTGGAGCCAAGCAACGCGACCATGCACGACAAAGAGGGAAGTCGCGGCGAACAATCTTTGGTGCACTATCAAGTGAATGCCAAACGTTCTAGCAGTGGATATATGCGGGAGGTTCTCAGTATCTGCACTACGTCTGGCTATCCGACATTTACATTCGACCTAATTTTCATATGTATCCGACTGCATGGACCTAACACACCCATGCGCTTGCTTGACTAGGTGTTCTGAGCGACGCGAACGGCGTTGCAGAGACGGTCAAGCGTGTTTCGCCAGATACCCTCGTACGTCTCGACATTCTCCATCCGTCCCCTCCAGGTAACCTGATAATTTGCTCCCGCAGGTCGTCATGGATGGCGTATGCTCCGTCGCGAGCGAGGAGATCCGCATGGATGCGTGGGGGCTCGACGTCGTGCTCACTGCGAGCCAAAAGGGCCTCGGTACGCCTCCTGGACTGAGCATTCTCGTCGCTAGCCAGAAAGCCATCAAGGTCAGTCCTCACAATTCTTCCCGCTCACATTTTTCTCTGACGCGCTTTAGGCTTTTGAGGCCCGCACTCGCCCGCCAGCGTCATATTACGCATCCTGGAAGAAATGGCTGCCAGTGATGCGCGCGTACGAGTCCGGTAGCGCTGCCTACTTCGCGACACCGCCTGTGAACCTTGTCTACGCGTATCACGCGTCGCTCATGCAGATCACGCGCGGGAGCCCGTCGCTCGAGGAGCGCTTCGCATTGCATCGAAAAGCGAGCGCCCGTGTGAAGGAGGCGGCCGCGGCGCTTGGGCTGAAGCAGCTCCCCTTGCAGGCAGGCGAGGCGGCGAATGGGATGACGGCGGTGAGTGGTCTGGGTTGTCTTTGGATCTGGTGAGGATCAGAGGACGAATGGCCTGACGCTGCGTGATGCTTCTGCAGGTTTACTTCCCCGAGGGCATTTCGGCACCAGATATCGTACCGCGCATGCTGAAGAAGGACGTCGTAATCGCTGGCGGGCTGCATAAGGACGCCAAAGGTAATGCTACTCTGTCCTGTTTCGCATTCATCTTCACGCTGATAATTCGGTCCTTCTCAATCACAGATAAGTACTTCCGCATTGGGTGCGTACCGTTCTCCTTCACATGCCTTCTCTCCCTTCCCACCCCATACCCCGCAATGAGTGCCCTCCGATGCTGACCCGCGGATCGTTCCCAGGCACATGGGTGTCACCGTCGTGAACGAGGCACGCGGCGACATCGACAAGATCATCTCCGCGCTCAAAGAGACTTTCGCGGAGGCCGAGGCCGAGCTTCGCAAGAAAGCGTGAGAGTGTTCCTTTCCTTCCCAATCCCAAGTGAATTATCCCTGTCGGTGGTGGCGTAAAGCCCGCGTGTCCGGGAGACGATGTAGCTGAAACTCAACTCCATACCATGAATGCATTGTGTGCACGTTCTGCGCACCTGCTATGTTGGATTCGTGACGGATAGTCTGTTGCGGCGGGCCATCCTTCAGAGACCAACGCCAAAAACGAAGTTCAAGTCGGGAGTCCCTCTTCTGCGTCCCGTATCATGAGAAAGGATTGGTTGAAAGGAAGGATCGAACTTTAGAGGGAAGAGAGAACGTAACCGTGGAATGCGACGTTTACCTTTGCATGCTGACCAGAAGTTTCTCATGGGTGCAACCCAAGAAAGAAGAGAGAACGTAACCGTGGAATGCGACGTTTACCTTTGCATGCTGACCAGAAGTTTCTCATGGGTGCAACCCAAGAAACCTTAGAAGCGAGCGATTGCCTCTCAATTCGGGCGTGACTGTCCCTCCTCACAAACGTTCCGTTCTGCGAAACTCAGTCTGTCGCCGTCGAACGTAGATCCCGTTGAAATCTAAGACAAGTCTTTTGTACAGTTGCCCGTTACGCGAGGCGGCCGTCTCCCGAAAATCACATCTTCTCGACTGTCCCCACGGAGCATTTCCCACACTCACGAACAGAAGTACGAGTTGCACATAAGTGGTGGTATGAGTACATTGCGCATGCTTGGGTACCGTACAGATATAAATATATACTCTACTACATTGACGTCAGAATAAATCCTTGCTTCTCATGCATGTCCGGATAGAGTGGATGGATGGGAGAGAATGGCGATCAGCACACAAGCGGACGAGGCGGACTATGCCGCAGCTGCGACCTCAGTGCGGAACTGCTCCTCGCCGCCCATCCTGTCGTACCACGCCTTACCCTCCGTCGTGGGAGCGATGTAGCCCGCGCGAATCACCCAGTCGCCGAAATGTTCGCCCTCACGCCGCTCCAGTGCATAGCGCTTGATCATCGGCCGCAAAATCGCGAGAATCTCCGGTTCTGTGACCGTTTCTGCAGATAGAACTGTGAGGAAAGGACGTCATATGTAAACAAGCACCAGAAATGCGCACCTCGGTAAATTTTATTGAGTCGCTCGCCGTTGTACCCGCCACCGAGTAGTATAGAATAAGTGCCTGGGGCCTTGCCGACAAATGCGACCTCTGAATGGGGAGGGAGATGAGGAACGTGCGTGGACAAGTGGAGCGTCAGCACGTACCTGCAATGTATGGTCGCGCGCAGCCGTTCGGACAACCCGTCATCCTCATGACAATCGAGTCGTTACGGAGACCATTCTCTTCGCAAATCTTCTCGACCTTGCCGACGAGGAGAGGGAAATACTGCAGGGATCACTATCAGCAACTTGACCATCACACATTAAATGATAACGCCCACTCTTTCCGATTCGGCCATGGCAAGGCCTGAGAGACTGTGAGCACAGGCTGAACACGCCACTGACGAAATAAAATTGCTTACCGCACGTCGGGAACGCAACACATGCAGACGACGACAACCTCAGTGCTGAGTACGAGAGATTATCCAGCTTGTACTTCGCAAGCAGCTCCTTAATCTGCGGCAGGTCCTCCGTCGCGATATCGCTGATCATCAAATGCTGGTTCGCCGTCGTCCGGAACGTGCCCTTGTGCACCTTCGCGATCTCACGCAGGCCGGTCTTGAAGTCGCGCCCGGGCTCGTCCTGGATGCGGCCGTTCTCGATGAAGCACATGAAATGGTGCTTGCCGTCCTCGCCCGTGTGCCAACCGTAGTCGTCGACGTTGCGGTTGAATGCGTACGGGCGCGCAGGCTGTAGCTGGTACCCGAGCAGCTTTTCGACTTCTGCTTTGAAGACGTCGAGCCCCATGCGGTCGATCGTGTACTTGAGACGGGCGTTCTAGGGAGAATATATCAGACATCATGATTTCGGAGGGATCGTGCTGGGGGCCTGCATACCTTACGACTAGAGAAATGGGGTCAGCATATTTTGAATGATCAATGAAGCAAACTCACTCTTCACGGTTTCCATTGTCCCTCTGGACAAGCATGATCTTCTCAGCGACGTCGACGCCCTGCTGAGGCGTGCAATAGCCAATGACGCTGCCGAGACGTGGGTAAGTTTTCTTGTTGCCGTGCGTGACGCCCATCCCGCCTCCAATGGTGACATTGAAGCCCTCGAGCTCGCCCTTGTCGTTCACAATGGCGATGAAGCCGACATCGTTCGCGAAGAGGTCGACGTCGTTCGTGGGCGGGACGGCGACAGCGACTTTGAACTACGCGGCGGCGTGGTCAGAGGTGATTATCCAGCCTGACGACCGAACGACATACCTTTCGCGGAAGGTAGAACTCGCCATACAGCGGCTCGATATCATGCACCGCGTCTCCAGCGACGAGCTTCTTGTCCAACCAGATCTCATGGTACGCAGTCGTCCTAGGGAGCAGGCGCTCGCTGACGGACTTGGCGAACTCGTACACCTGAGTGTGCAGCTTCGACAAGGACGGGATCGCAGAAACGATGACATTCCTGCGATACTAAATCAGTGCGCGATGCAATGCCACGACCGACCAAACCCTCACCTGTTAACGTCTCCGCACGCGGCGAGTGTATCAAGCAGTGCCCTATTGATATCCTGAATGGCAGCCTTGAGGTGCCGCTTGATGACGCCGTGAAACTGGAACGTCTGCCTCGTCGTAATCTTGAACGTCCCGCACCCATGCTCATCCGCAATCTGGTCCATCAACAGCCACTGATCCGACTTACACACCCCACCAGGCATGCGCACGCGGATCATGAAGCTATACGCGGGCTCCACGCCCTGCGCGATGCGCTCGTCCCGAATATCCCTATCGTCCTGCTGGTAAATCCCGTGAAATTTCGTGAGCTGCGTGTCGCTCGGCGCGAGCGCGCCCGTCGTGGTGTCCTCCAGTCCCTCCTTGATCGTCCCCCGAAGGTACTGCGACGCAACCTTGATATGCTCGTTCGTGATCGGCTCCGGCTCCGCCTCCTGCACCTCCACCGAGTCGACGCCGAGCGCCTTCCAGATGAGCGGCTCCCACTGCTTATAGCCCGTCTCGGGCCCGTCCGCATCCTGGTCATCGCCAAGGCCACTCGGCACGACGCGCTGCGCACCAAGGCTCTCCAACCTCACATCCAAATCCCTTCCCGCCTTGTTATAGAAATGCCTGTCCTCGGGCCTCGGCCAGTAATGGCTATCGCCCATCCCGAACACGCTGTACTTGACATTCGCGAGCGGACGCTGGCCCGCGGCGACGGCGGCATTGAGCGCCTTCATGAACACCCGGCCATTCTG